AATATTTTGTATTCAAGTTTAACAATATTCGCTATGTATATGTGCATTGTTGTATTTAATTTTTAGCTGTTCTACACACAGTCATCACTTTTAATTATTATTCTCATAATCCTCTCGCAGGTCTGCTGGAAGAGATGTCTTAAAGAAATACGCAGTGTCTTTGTACATAATTTTCCTATTACTCTGTACTATGTCTTCTTTTTTGTGTGTACATAAATAAATAAAAAATAAAATAAGATGTCTTTTTTTATTGCTTAGACGGGTGAATAAGCTCACTCACGACTCACCTGGTGCTAAGGGGTAGCCGGAGCCCTTAGACACCTACAAAGTAAATGCCACTTCTATAAAAAAAGTCTCTATATTATGATAACTCAATGTATTGGTACACCAGAAATTTGCATTAATTTCTTGCTTGGGGCTTGATTTGCAATCTGAGTCTTTAGCTACAAAGTTCTGTGTCAAAAAATTTAAACAAATTCAAATAAAGTAAATTCGTTAAAAGATATGTAATTGGTGTTTTGTGTTTGGGCGAACTTGGTATTGTACTGTAACAATGCCCTTGCACAGAAAAATACTATTACACATTTAAACTTAAATTCTAACTTGATAAGTTGTCCACGCCTAGGACAAATAATAAATCGGTTTGTGGAAATGTGTTATATATTTTTGGTCCGAAAATAATAAATACCGTACCGGTAAAATGAGGCGATTAGGGATTGAGAGGCGAATCGGGAAAAAACCGGGAAAATCTTTCGACGCTCAATATAAGTTTTATATTCGTTGCAAAATCTTCCATTTTTTGTAGTTTAATAGTAGAATGTTGAAAGTTCACAAAACAACTCTGAATATGCATGATAATAGCTGCTAACTTATAAAAAATCGCGTTTCAAATTAATTCCTGTGGTGGTAATTATTTTAGTGCTAGAAATTTTGCTCTCTTTTATTTATTTGATAACAATAGAAGACGACTGTGATTTATAAACGTTATTTAGTGTTTGAACCATCATATATATTAAAAGTAAGTCTCAGTTGTTATTGGTTTTAATGTATTTGATTAAATAAAAATACATGTAAAAATCTGTTGTTTTTGGGGATATTGGGGACGTCTTAGGTACAAATAACAACGAAAAAGGGGTCAATTGGGATGAGAATACGTGAAATGGAAACGACCTAAGTATAAATAGGTACAGGTTTGTAGGGTTGTCTATGTAGTTATAACAATATTTTTTAAATTTGTTGGTAAAAATCTGGTTTATTCGAAGCGAAATTGGGAATAAGTCTTTAGTTGAAATAGATAAGCAATTTAATATAAGTAAGTCGATTTTGCAGAGACATGTAACAAGATCAATGAAATCTCAAGGTGGACAAAAATGTCTAAGTAATACATAATAAAATATTTAATATTTGTTCAGAGTGGGGGTATTCATCTGATTAATCCATGGAATAACCGACACACCTAATCTCTTAAGCCAGATAGAAATATCAGCACTGTCGATTGCACCTATAATTGAGGTGATGTCTGCCATGTACTTTTGTCAGTTTTTCAATTTTTTTTATTGATGATCACTTTGTTGGTGCAATTAAATAAATAAATAAATTAAAACTATATATAAAAATAAAAGTAGTGCCAACCCTAGCAAAATTCTCATTTCGTCCCAATTAACCGCAATTTTCGGGTAAATAGGGATTACACCTATTTTTGCATTTTTTTCTTAAACTGGAATGCTAGTTGCATAATTTTAAATTAGACAACAAAGATGCCCCCAAGACTCAATCATTTTGATCCTGATATAGCATTATATACATCAACAACTACCTTAAAATTGCTCATAAAGTGGGAATTTGTCCCTAATCGCCCCATTTTACGGTACATAAAATATTTGAAAATTTATAAGGCGCCAAAATCGCGATTTAGTGAAAAAGCACAGATAATATAAAAAATGAAAATATCTTGACCAGAAAAAAAAATTTCTTTCTATCCAACTTCATAAACATTGGAAATAATATGATTTTATTTGTGTTTCTGTAACATTCTATCATTTGAATAATAATTGTAGGTACAGTCAAATGGGGTAAATAGGGACAAAATCGAACTTCAGATTAAATTTTAAAATAGTTCAAATTACTATACAATACAATACAATAGTCACTGCTCAACCAAAGAAATAAGTTGAGTCTTGAACGTACCTAGGTGATAAAAACCGTTACTATATTTTAATTATTCATTTTAATTATAATATAATCGGTAAAATAATGGCCGTCCCAATTTGCCCTGTGTCTGGGGTAAATTGACACGGGTAAGGGTTAAATTGGGATATTTGCAAGGATTGTCAGCTCGCAGTACTGCGATATATAGGTAGGTAAGACATACGATCGGGCAGATATTAAAAAGTTAATGTCGCGAAAAGAAAAGTAATTATATTGTGGGCTACTCCCACATATACACTTACGCACAACTGGTACGCATTTACATACACCACATTACATTTTATTCCGACACATATTTCAGCCGTATCGATGCGCACCAGTCGACTATATTGGACACACGCACCCAAAACCGGTTTGCTGTGACGTCGGGCCGATACATCGCCGTCCGCGCACAGCACCGCGCTGTCTCCAGGCAGAGCCTACCCGCATCGACTAACGCTCGCTTACGTTTCGTTTCGATAAATTTGTTGTGTATGACCTACTACGACATTTGCAAGATAAGTCTTCGGATATACAAGTACCGAATAACAACATTTGGACCGTCGGTATACCGAGCAATATCACCCGCTCGGTGAAAGATCATCCCGCCGTTGTTAAGCCTTTCCAAAAGATATATACTTTTCTTTTACCTATAATAATTACATAAACTAACTGATAAACACATTACCCTTCTTTACATCACGCAATTGAGTGATAGTATAGGCTAACAAATCTATTATAAGATATCAGTGACAACCCTAACAAGCCATCCCTATTTTGTCTTTTCGCGTTCCAATTTTGTATTTTCTCGTCCCTAATGTTTCCAGTCTTGTTCCATTTTACCCCACATACGTCCTAATTTTCTCCAAAAAGAAAGGAAAAAATATACATTTTTTATTTTATCGAAATATTGTATTTAAAATAAAAATATTCCAACTTACAGTTTGTTGTGGTATTTCCAGGTGTATTAAAAACTTATATAAGCTGTGATCTTATTGAAAAAACAATGATAATATTACTTTTTTTAAAAGTTCTTTAAGCTGTTTTAAAACGCTCTTTTCAACCACTATATTCAATTTAATTTGACGATTTTTTGGGGCCAACTTAACTCATATTCAGTGTTTCCATAGTTAACTTGGTTTTTCTTCTATACATTGATTAATATTACAATAAACAAAATTAAGTAGACTCCGTGCTACAGGTACTTTCAGAATCTTCCGCAGGTTTGTCCCCATTTACCCCAGAATCCCAATTTACCCCATTTGACTTAAGGGTTAATTTATGATGAATCTAAATATCCCATGGAGTTAATAAGTAAGTAACTCTATGAAATATCTACACAAATCTAGGATTAGTTCGGAGCCAATTACCAGATGTCACTGTTTCAAGTAGGCTTTGAATCTTTTTTAAAAACAGACTACATACTAAGATATGCTTTACACCTTACGTTTCTTGTGTTATAAAGCTATTCATGATTATACAAAAATTTAAACATTTTTAACAACTTTTTTTTATGATTTGCTTCTTTTTTAAATTTTATTTACGGTCATAGCTTAGCCTAAATACTACAAGTGCGAGTAGAAGCGAGGTGAGGTTGCATGAAATAAAGTAAAACGGTGGTTATTTACTGAAAGTTGAATGGACTTTTTGGAATAAGCCGTGAAAGCTACTAGTGGACTACCTTTTGTGAGCCCGCTCGATTAGGTACCAACGCCCTACCTATTTCTGTCGTGAAACAGTGTCTGTGGGCTCCGGTAACCACTTAACGCTGGGTGTGCCTTGAGCTTGTTCGCTCATCTACGCAGTAAAATAAAAAAGTCACGTCCAGCAGGTTTATTTCATTTTCCTACATTTGTGAGCTTTCATAGACGCTTAATGTTTAGCACTCAAAAAATTCTCAAGAAACAAAATAAAATAATTCACACAATATCGCTTTTTGCGTTCCCGTCAAAAAGTCAATGCAAACATCATCCATTTATACTTATCAAATTTCTTGCACATCATTCAATTTTGGTAATGCACAACAATATAAAAAATTGAAACAGTATTTTGAGTGTCGAAACGTGCTAATTAATTATTTTTATTTAATTTTAACAGACATGCACATTTGTTGTGTATGTTTGTGCACACAAAGAGGCACTTATTTCACAGTCTTGTGTCATTTTAGAAGTGGTGTGCATTGATGTGGTAACGGGTTGCCGTAGGACAGAAACTGGCGTCGTTGGTCGTCGAGCCTGTTAGTAGTATGGACCGCAGAAATCCCCCCACTGCCCAGGATCTGACCCCGGGCGGAGATCGGACGTTGGATAAGAGATTACAAAGGAAATCTTTTTGTGGGTAGGACTCTAAAAACATTCCTGGGCCCGCAGTCTACTCTTTACATCTGCAAACCGTGAAGAACCACATATCCAGGGCACCCCCTAGGCGCGGAAAACTCGCGTGTAGTTCGGCTACCTGCTAGAGTAAAAAGAAAAGGATGATGATACCTATTCGTACGATCCCACAAGATGAGCTTCCACCAGTAAGCTATTCCATTAACCACGGATGCACCTCGCGATTAGATAAGAATTTGCATCAATAAGCTGTTAAGTTTAAGACCAAAGCCATATCTTGGTGTTCAAAGCGTTGATCTGTAGTATCTAGTTCTTAAATAAAATGTGAGTGAAATTATCTTACCATGATAGCGAAAGATAAGATGCCCATGTCAAGATAATCCCAAGATATTGGCTTGTTTATGATTGATAAATGTGTTTCATCTCAGTTTTAGGTTTACTTATCAGTTTTAGTGAACCTACGTGTGTAATATGACTAAAATGTCTTTAAAATTAAATCTTGAAGTTCCAAAGTTTTTGAAATCCGTTAGGTATACTTTGGCCGCAGTAAATGGATTGTTTTTGGTAAGAAATTGAGTCTCGCAACATCGTTAAAATAAATGTTGAATTTGGATAATGCCAATACGGAATGGTTTTATAGTAAATACAGACGAACCTTCAAGACGCGTGATAAATTCGACTGACTTCGGTTTGAAATGCGCGTGAAGTATTGGCGATGCACAAATTTTTATATTTGTGGTCTTTAAGGTAGGTAAGAGCCCGGCTTACGAATGAATGCGACTTTCAATTAGATCTTCAGGCAGACTAGACTAGACTATTTTTTCTATAATTTAATTATATAGAAACCTAACAGGTGTGGTTCACGAATGGGTCTGCGATAAAAGAGTAATGTTGTTGCAATGGCGGTTTTTTTTTCGAAATTTTTTTTTAAACTCCTTAGCCAAAGGTTTTGGCGCGCTCAATCGTTATGAGCCATAATTCAAACGAACAGCCCGATCTATTATAATTGATATTCACATCTATTAAAAAAAAATTATATATAATTTAATTTTTGTTTTTCGGTAAAGCATCCGCGTCAGTTTTTCTGAATTCGGGTAATATTAATTTTCTTTTCTCAGTTAACTGGTTTCCTGCTGCTAATCGTTGGGGTTGTGATCCTCGTCCAATATTCTGAGTATGAAGTATTCGTCACTCAAAGATTCTTCACAATACCAGGATTCGTGATTGCGACAGGCGTGATTATATGCATTGGATCCATCCTAGGGTTTTATGGAGCGATTTCAGAGCAGTTTTACTTTATTGCTGGGGTTTGTATCGATGATAAAGCCATTTATTATTTTGGACTCAAGCTATTAAAATAAAAATATATTCAATTTAAATGACACAATAAAATGAAACCTGACCGACCTATAAGTGATAATAAAGTGATTCAGTCTCAACTCACACCGGACTTCAAGTAGCACTGGCGCTTGCAAGCCAATACGGAAGTCAGCACGGATAACGCTAACTTAAAGGCACGACCTCCGGTCTCGGAGGGCAGTGGTGTGACGGTAGCTATCATACACAAGGGCGGATCCAGCTTTGGCGCCAGGAGGGGGTCACATAGTCAAATTTTCGATGCGTTCATTCCGCCATTATACAAAGTGATTATATTATATTAAATTAATTAAATATTGACGGTATGTAGTTACATAAAATCTGTATGGTGACAAAATATATAAATAAAATCATTATGTTCAATTAGTGATTCACCTAAGTCTTGGAAGCAGCTCGGGGGGGGGGGGGGGTCATGACCCCCATGACCGCCCCCCTGGATCCGCCTTTGATCATACAAATCAAGATATTTTGAATCTCGCTTACGACATTTTCAAGATAAGCTTGCGTGTACATACAAGTTCGAACCGTCGGTCTAGTGAACAATATCACCCGCTCGGTGGAAGATCTACCCTTTGTCATATATTACCACTACTCAACCACTTACCGCCAGTAGCCGTGACCTCTTTCACTTGTTTAATGAATAAAAAAGTTTAAAGAAGGCTTTACATGACATTATCCACATACCTCCCATCATCACATCACAGAGGAACAACACTAGTTTCTTCAGTGGAACTCATAGGCACTCGTCTTGTGCCGTAGCACATCAAAATACTTAAAGGTACTTTGATATTTTCAGTACGTGATGCTGTCCATAGTGGTACTGGTCTTCGAAATAGTTATTATAATAATTGCGTTCGCTTTGAGTAACGACGCGGTGTCCGAGATCAGAGCTCCGATGTTGCAAAGTCTCCAGCTGTACGAGAGTAGACGAGATATAGCCAGGCTTTGGGACGACTTGCAAATGGAAGTGAGTTTTNAATACTTAAAGGTACTTTGATATTTTCAGTACGTGATGCTGTCCATAGTGGTACTGGTCTTCGAAATAGTTATTATAATAATTGCGTTCGCTTTGAGTAACGACGCGGTGTCCGAGATCAGAGCTCCGATGTTGCAAAGTCTCCAGCTGTACGAGAGTAGACGAGATATAGCCAGGCTTTGGGACGACTTGCAAATGGAAGTGAGTTTTATTTTTATATTTATTGCTAACCTCATTTTTAAATTGTTACTTGGAATCCACATCGTAATTCTAATGCCGCCTACCAATCGCCCTGCGCCCTGCCTATTTCTGCCGTAAAGCAGTAATGCGGTCCGGTTTGAAGGCTAGAGCAGCCGTTGTCACTATACTGAGATCTTAGAACTTATATCTCAAGGTGGGTGGCGCATTTACGTTGCAGATGTCTATGGGCTCCAGTAACCACTTAAAACCAGGCGGGCTGAGCTCGTCCACCCATCTAAGCATTAAAAAAAACCATAAGAAAGTTAAAATAATAAACTTATCGCAGCCAAGGTGCTATTTAAACTCTGTGACATCCTTAGTTCTCTTGATAGTTCGAGTGCTGCGGAGTGTCTAGCCGTTTGGACTACACGTCAAGTAGGATCCCCGTGAGCTGCTGCCACATAGACTACGGCACTATATCGCCATTCGAGTGTGGTGCGGCCAACGCTTACACGACGGGCTGCGCGACTTTTCTCGGCGAATGGCTTGCATACAACGCGTATGTGATAGCGGTTTGTGCTATCGTTGCCACGTGTCTACAGGTTAGTGTTTTTTTTAGGTTAAATAACAAAATCCGTCCGCTAGAAGCTGGAATAGCGCCTTATGCTATCAGCGAATGGGGAATAAAAACAAAATGTTTGTATTAATTGTTTTTATTGCATTGATCGGTGGACGAGCTCACCACCTGATGTTAAGTGGTTACCGGGGCCCATAGACTTTTACAACGCAAATGCCGCCAACCACATAGAGATATGAGTTCTAAGGTCTTAGTATAGTTACAATTATTTTTTTCCTACCTATGCTGATAGCCTTGATAGGCTATTTCAGCTTCACCCTAATGTGTAGGTGAGTTCACGGGGCTCAAACCAGAGTGTAGCTAACACTGGCCCTAGCAAGAGCAGTGCTTCGCAGAATCTACCACCGGATCGGAAACGCGACGAACTGAGAAGATCCGCCGAGAAACTCAGTGGGCTGTGTCTATGGGTTAATTTACTCGTCGAGCCCTTCGTCGCAAGCGACGGGTTCGGCGAGGACGGTGACTGGAGATACTCAGTATAATTTACGATAGCAGCGCTACTGTATAGTAAAAGAAATGGTCCAGATATTTTTTTATTTTTTATTTTATTTTGATCTATACTTAATATTATAAAGAGGAAAGATTTGTTTGTTTGTTTGTTTCGAATAAGCTCCGAAACTACTGGACCGATTTGAAAAATTCTTTTTCCATTAGAAGCCGACATTGTCCCTGATGAACATAGGCTACATTTTTAATTTTTTTTTAAATTTTTTTTTGTTTCATGTTTGTTTTAATGTTTCCGAAGCGAAGCGAGGGCGGGTCGCTAGTGTAATATATATTTTCCCGTTCTGTAGTTGTTCGTCTTTTTAATTGTAGTTAGTAGTAGTAGTGGTTGCGATTTAATTCTTTCGCAAATCAATAAGTTCAAATGTTCATTAGTACGAAGTTTGAAATGTATTAAATATATGGTAAATTTGATCTGGAATCGAACCTTCGCATACAGTCAGTAGAGATTTAGGGTTACCTTCCGAATCACTTCATAGTTGGTAAGAAAACATTTGGATTTTTTGTTGGAAAACACCGTTATTAAAATTCTACCGATTTCATTCAAATATACTACTAGTTTGAACAACTGCTGAGTAACCTTGCTAAATAGTTCGTATGTGTATGTAAATTAACGAGAGGTCGCGATAAAAATAGCCTTACGGTCTTACCATTAACATTGTTATAGAGAAAACATCGTATTTACAATATTATCGTATGAAAAATTAACGTATGGAACAGTATGATAAATTATTAAAAACTTAAAAACATAACACAGAAAAATATATTATAAAACAGTCTTAAATCCTTCTGCATCTTTGAATTTGACGAAACAGGACCGTATTATCAAGCACTGGTCAATGATCTGTTCGTACCAATACTACGAGTTACATTTTCCATGAATATCGGCCACTTTTGTGATGTTATTTTTGGAATTTACATAATCATCGGCTTTAGGACAAGTCACACACACACACACACACACTAAATAAATCAACTTTAAATAAATAAATAATTAAAGATTTTTATAAACACGTCATTGGCAACAATGGCATCGCGAGAAGCCATACTGAAAACATAGAGGAAGAGTCCCGACTCTGCCTTAAAACATGTTACATTGTTCTAAATACTAGTGGTTCCCAAATGCTCTACTATTCAACAATCATTGTTTGCGACTACATAAATAATAATAAAATTACTACATACAATAATAAAATTACTACATAAATGAACGATGACTCGAAATATAGAATGCATACCGGTCACCGTCCTCGTCGAACCCGTCGCCTGTGACGAAGAGCTCAGCGAGTAAATTAACCCATAGAGGCATAGACACAGCCCACTGAGTTTCTCGCCGGATCTTCTCAGTGATTCGCTTTTCCGATCCAGTGGTAGATTCTGCGACGCACTGCTCTTGCTAGGGTCAGTGTTAGCAATACCTCCGGTTTGAGCCCCGAGAGATCACCTACACGCTGATATAGCCTCTCAAGGCTATCAGCATACGTAGGAAAAAAAAAATACATAACCAGTCCTAGAGACTAGCAGAGACCGAAGAATTTGTTTTAATAAAATTGTAAAATAAGGCTCACAAAGCTATACTTTTGTTTATTTTTTGTTTCTTCTAGGTCTTATTATCAGCGATGTCAGGGTGGCTGGCCTACAGATCGAAGTTCGAAGAGGTTGAATTGGAGTCTTGAGTTCCTTAATTAATGTTATCTTATGTGTAGCGTTTAATGTATAACAAAGTTTTGTTTATGCTATTAATAATGTTATTAATAATGACGTAATGTTCAATAAATAGAATTTAAAAACTTTAGACGGACTTTGTGGTTTTATTGCTATGTCGTCAATCGTCTATGACATACGTATTAAATATGCAGTTTTGTTCCGCAGAAAGGTATTCAAGTAGGTATTTGCAAACAGAAATGAGCATCTTTTTTTTTTAACAGCACGTTATCTTTTTTTTTTTATTGCTTAGATGGGTGGACTAGCTCACAGCCCACCTGGTGTTAAGTGGTTACTGGAGCCCATAGATATCCACAACGTAAATGCGCCACCCACCTTGAGATATAAGTTCTAAGGTCTCAAGTATAGTTACAACGGCTGCCCCACCCTTCAAGCCGAAACGCATTACTGCTTCACGGCAGAAATAGGCGGGGTGGTGGTACCCACCCGCTAGGACTCACAGGAGGTCCTACCACCAGTAAATCTGTGGCTTTTATTCATCGAACTGCAATCTAACTATGCCAATTTACAAACAGGAACTAATAGTGAAAATTGTTTTTTTTTTTATTGTCCTTGTAGGCAGACGAACATACGATAAACCTGATGGCAAGTGGTTTCCGTCGCCCGCGGACTTCAGCAATGTCAGGGACAGAGCCAAGCCGCTGCTTATCAAATTGTTGAAATTCTATAAAGCTGTTTACGTAGGTGCGCATTAAAAAATTTATTTTATGAAACACTAAACTAGTTTCCTTATCGCGAAGACAGGGAAAAGTTACATTAAAAATATAAAAAAAAAATACTGCAGTTTTGCATGCGCGTTTAAAATTAGCATCGTTAAACGTTACCGATGCCTTTATCAGTATTTGTGTGTTAGTTACATGTACCATCTGATAAAACTAGTCATGTTCGACTAAGCATCGACCAAGGTACCTACTGCAGTCTGCAGTCAAGTATTTTGTAATACATAAATTTGTTGATACCTCTACGTCGTGTGTAGGTACTTCAAGTGCTCGGAGCGAGATAAATCCGCTTGTTTTGCTTATCAAGATTAATGTACCTACCTATTCTGATAAAAATATCCGAACCACGTCAAAACGTCGGTCGTAGTGTCACGCGCGCGTCGATGCTCCATTCTAAATTAAATTAAATAAATTCAATATGTTGTCGAAAATATTCACTACGGTGAAATACACATTGGTGACAGTGAATTTTTTGTTCTTGGTAAGTTAATAATAGTGCGTGTAATACTTGAAAGTGTTTCGTAATAATGTCACAAGAGTTTCATGTGATCGTTTTCAGATAACCGGAATTATAATATTGGCTGTCGGAGGCTCGGTGCAAGCTGCCTATAATAATTACCATGAGTTTCTATCGGAGAGGTTTTTCTCTCTTCCCGCCTTTTGTATAGCGACGGGAATTATTATATTCCTCATATCCTTCTCCGGTTTCTATGGAGCCTTCATGGAGAACTACTTAATGAACATGGCGGTAAGTGAACAAAATGTACTCTATAAATATTTAGGTCGTCTTCTTTCAAATGGATTTAAATGATGAAGCGCTAGGAAATATTTAATGTGGCACCAAAGTTTTTCTGCAGCAATCAAAATTTTATAAATAGAACAGAAGCATACATTTTGTATATTGATTTAAATCATACAAATACCTCAGCTAAATATTAAATCATAGAAAAAATCTAGTGGAATCTTAACCAAATTCTAATTAGATAAACACCGCATTCTTTTTTAAATAAACTTTCCGTAAATTAACAAACAAAGATAACATAAAAATTACAATAGCCTAATCGTTTTTCTAAAATAGAGGCTACGACACACTATTGTTAAATTCCTTTCGCGTCACATATTTTAATGATCAAAACGTTTTAGTCATATCTCAGTTTACAACTAGTAGCAAGCTGTTTCTGTAGAAAATCACGTAAGCGATTAGCAACCTTATGTCGAAGGGCACGCTGGTTATTTCAGCAGATTTGTTTTCGTTGGTTCTGAAATTAGAATTGTAGTACCTATATACATAAATTATTTGTAACTGAGACGAGAAACGCCCTAAATACTTGGGCTTGACGACTTCTCAGTTCAGATTTTACGTGCATCTTTAAATTAGAATCGGGGCCAATCTATATCTATACTCTATACTTATACTTATAATATTATAATAATATAATATAAATATAAATATATAAATAATATTATAAAGAGGAAAGATTTGTTTGTTTGTTTGTTTCGAATAGGCTCCGAAACTACTGGACCGATTTGAAAAATTCTTTTTCCATTAGAAGCCGACATTGTCCCTGATGAACATAGGCTACTTTTTTTTGTTTTTTTTTTTTTATATTTTTGGTTTCATGTGTGTTTTAATATTTCCGAAGCGAAGCGAGGGCGGGTCGCTAGTTATCCAATAATCAGATAAGAATTATTACAACATAAACAAATAAAGTTCAGTTGTTAAGGCAAAACAGTTAAATTTATCTCACCGAGTTTATTGCAGAATCTTCTCAGTGGGTCGCGATTTCGATCTGCTGGTAGATTTTAGCGAAGCATTGCTAGGGCCAATGTTAACAATTCTTTCGGGTTGAGCCCGTGAGCTTACCTAGCGGTCCACGCGTATTCTGAATAGCCTCTTAAGGTACCAACGATTCGTTCTGGTATTAGGACCTCATGTGAGTCCGCACGGGTAGGTACCACCACCGCGCCTATTTCTGCCGTCAAGCAGTAATGCGTTACGGCTTGAAGGATGTGGCAGCCGTAGTAACTATCCCACCTTACAACTTATATCTCAACGTGGGTGGCGCATTTACGTTGTAAATGTCTATGGGCTCCAGTAACCACTTAACACCAGGTGGACTGTGAGCTCGTCCACCCATCTAAGCAATAAAAAAAAAGTTTGTGAAAAAAATTATAATTTATAAAAAAGATAACATAATCCGATGATTTAAGAATCGCTTGCCTCTGAAAGTATGCGAGCATATTCACTATTTATCAGTAGGTACTTCACGATCCGTGTACATATCTGAGCCAAGATGTCTAGTCGTCGTGGCTTAAAGAATAAGACGTCCGGTACATTCGTGTTGAGCGATGCACCGATGTTCGAATCCCGCAGGCGGGTACAAATTTTTCTAATGAAATACGTACTTAACAAATGTTCACGATTGACTTCCACGGTGAAGGAATAACATCGTGCAATAAAAATCAAACCCGCAAAATTATAATTTGCGTAATTACTGGTGGTAGGACCTCTTGTGAGTCCGCACGGGTAGGTACCACCGTCCCGCCTATTTCTGCCGTGAAGCAGTAATGCGTTTCGGTTTGAAGGGTGGGGCAGCCGTTGTGACTATACTGAGACCTTAGAACTATATCTCAAAGTGTGTGGCGCATTTACGTTGTAGATGTCTATGGGCTCCAATAACCACTTAACATCAGGTGGGCTGTGAGCTCGTCCACACATCTAAGCAATAAAAAAAAAAACCCAAAAAGTCGATTAATTTGAAATCAAATATAATTGACACCCGACTAATTATGNGTCGTCGTGGCCTAAAGGATAAGACGTCCGGTGCATTCGTATGAAGCGATGCACCGGTGTTCGAATCCCGCAGGCGGGTACCAATTTTTCTAATGAAATATGTACTCGACAAATGTTCACGATTGACTTCCACGGTGAAGGAATAACATCGTGTAATAAAAATCAAACCCGCAAAATTATAATTTGCGTAATCACTGGTGGTAGGACCTCTTGGGAGTCCGCACGGGTAGGTGCCACCACCCCGCCTATTTCCGCCGTGAAGCAGTAATGCGTTTCGGTTCGAAGGGTGGGGTAGCCGTTGTAACTATACTGAGACCTTAGAACTTATATCTCGAGGTGGGTGGCGCATTTACGTTGTAGATGTCTATGGGCTCCAGTAACCACTTAACATCAGGTGGGCTGTGAGCTCGTCCATCCATCTAAGCAATAAAAAAAAAATTACAGTTTCGTTATATTAATGAATTCTTCATTTTATTCCGTATAATTTTCATATTCTTAATTTTTAATAAAGATTGAAGATTTTTATAAAGGCAATAATAGCATCGCAAAAAGCCAGTTGCCATATTGAAAAAACAAAAAATAAAGAAAAAAGTAGAAGGCACAAACAAATTTTATTATACAACTCGAACATAAATTTGTTCTTCGAAACTCTGGCCCTCCTCATCTATTGAAGTTACACCAATTATCATGAGTGATAAGGGAAGCAAATACAAGGATTAAGATATTAATGATGTAATTTAACGTAATGCATTATATATATTACGTTGTTATTTTAAAACGAGGCCATTATAGAATTGAAGCCTTTACAATTTTTTTTTATACAATTTTTACTATTTATACAATTTTTACTATAATACAATTTTTAAAAACAATTGGTATTTTTGTAAAACGATCTGATTTTCGAAATAGCAGGACTTCTATTATATATAGCCGAATTCGAAACTTTTGCGTCTGCATTTCGAAGAACAGCAAACAACAGCTTTTTCAATCCAGAGAGCTGCAAAGATCCGTATAAAAATATGAAAAAAGATACGAAAAATATGTAATACGTTAACATCCTAAAGTAATTTTTTTAGAGAGGGAGAGAGAGAATATGCTAACACAAAAACATAACTAACATTAAAAAATAAGTTTTTTTGTAGGTATTTTAATTACTGTACTATATGTGAAAATATGCATATTCCCCAAAGGCTCTTGAACTCTACATATTTCACATTATTTTATACAGAATTTAGGCATATTGATTAAAATTCAAATATGTTGATATTATGTGTATTAACTACCCCTTTCGGCGAACCTTGAGGGAGGACTGCATCCAGCAGTAATCGCTTGTGGGCTTATGATGATATCGATGATGATATAAACCAGTCTATTCTGAAATCAATGTATTTTTATTACTTGCAACATTGATATCCGGGTAATGCTTTTCACTTTTTGGCGGGAAGAGTGTTTTTGTGTTGTATTAAATATTATTTATTTAGTCGATTGGGTGCGTTTACAGCTTGCGTTTCTTCTCTTTAAGTCAATCATATTCATACCTACCTACCCTGCCTATTTTTACCGTGAAGCAGTTATGCGTTTCGGTTTGAAGGGTGGGGCAGCCGTTGTAACTATACTTGAGACCTTAGAACTTATATCTCAAGATGAGTGGCGCATTTACGTTGTAGATGTCTATGGGCTCCAGTAACCACTTATCATCAGGGGGGCTGTGAGCTCGTCCACTCATCTAAGCAATAAAAAAAAAGCTTTCCTCCACGCTCTATAATTCGCTAATTAAGCAATGCCCATTACAATTTGCGTATTAACAATAGCTCCGACAGACATTATCTTTGAATACATGACATATTATTATTAATCAGTTAATTGATCGCTCGCGGATCGTGAATCCTGATAAAACGATACAAGACTTGTAAATAAATAAACGTGTTTTATAGTTATGTCGATAACACATGAAATATGACATATTTTGTCTATTTTATCGGAATAGACGCATAGTTATAATATCGATAATTAAAGTGATGTTTTCTTTGAACGATTTTGTTGGCGTATTGTAAACTCGTACGGATTAGTACACAGCCGTCCTACCTAATTTTGCCTCCTAGTATATCTTCACGCGGTCTTGAAGGCTGGGCAGTTGTTTTGTGTTGACAATCGTGACGTCAACATCATCACGTATCATTTATAACCGAACACAGTGAGTTCGCATGCCCTTCTTGAATAGCTAAAGTAGCTAATAGTGCTTCCCTATCTTTTTTTCATTTTAAGTAAATTATCAATTAGTTTTAAGGTTTATTTTAAACCATACGTATGTTTTAGATATAAAGCATTTTAATAATGTACATATAAGTAAACGGTTTTAACTTTTTTTTTGCTTACATGGTTGTACGAGCTCACAGTCCACCTGGTGCTAAGTGGTTACTGGAGCCCATAGACATAAATGCGCCACCCAGCTTGAGATACAAGATCTAAGGTCTCAGTATAGTTACAACGGCTGCCCCACCCTTCAAACCGAAACGCATTACTGCTTCACGGCAGAAATAGGCAGGGTGGTGGTACCTACCCGCGCGGACTCACAAGAGGTCCTACCACCAGTAGTGGTACTTCTCAGTATTTCCATAATTACCAAAATAATTTTCATGTACCCTAACATGAAACCTTGCGCATCTCTAGGGTGCATACCAAAGGTTGAGAATTGCAGTCCTAGAGCAGTGTCGTTAGTGCGAGTTTTTTAACGTTCTCGATAGCGTAAAAGTTAATTCAAAAATGTATGTAGTTGGAACATATCTAGGGCCCGCGATCTGCTCTCAACACCTGCAGATCGTTGAGTCTCACATACCCCGCGCGCCCCTAGGCGCGGGGACCTCGTAGGAGGTTCGGCCCCCGGCCCGAAAAAAAAAAAAAAGCGCCTCTAGCGGCAAACGTAGGCAACGTTCCAACCCCATACAGATTTGAGTTAACTTTTACGCTATCGAGACCGTTAAAAAAAACTCGCACGAAGCACACATTATAAAACAGGTCATCGGCGAACTTAATAGGATTGAATACTTAAGTGTAATGAAGAGATAATTAGAGAAAATCGACATAAAGTTCTGATTTACAAATCTTGCTTAAAACATTTAAGATGTTTTGAGAACTTGTATCATACATATGACATGTGAAATTATTATTCAAACTGCGTTCGTGCAAATACTATTCTAATTTTGACCATATTTAAATACAAGCGAACCATCCGGCTCCGCTCGGGTCTTTAACAAAAATTTAAACGATATTTGAAGTTGTTTTATTTTTTAAAATAAAATAACACTTATTGCGGCATAACTATAATAGTTAGACATAGGTTGTCGCGACACTTTTTGTAAATAATAATGTGTTCTACAAAGTCGTAGTACATTATTTTATTCTATCATCAATAGTTTTCGCAGGGCACGCGATGTAAAGAATATTTTAGGTAATTTTTTTACACCTTGGGTTACATTATTGGAGTTTAGTAAGGATCCCTAATTTTTCAAAAAAGATTATAGCCTAACTATGTCACGCGGGAATAGTGTAGCTTCCAAACAGTGAAAGAATTTTTCAAATCGGTTCAGTAGTTTCGGAGCCTATTCAATACAAACAAACAAACAAATCTTTCCTCTTTGTAATATTAGTATACTAGCGATCCGCCCTCGCTTCGCTTTGGAAACTGTAATTTATTATTGATTTCTCCACTATTTAATGGATGTTATTATACATATAAACCTTCTCTTCAATCACTCCATCTATTAAAAAAAAACGGAACAAAATCCGTTGCGTAGTTTTAAAGATTAGAGCATACATAAGGATATAGGGACAGAGAAAGCGACTTTATTTTATACTGTAGTGATTAGTATAGAAAAACAGTCACTACAGATAGCAATTCTCTTTTCTTTATCATTAAAAAAAATATCATTTTCTGTATTCCAGTTTGCGGGTGCCATGATCTTGATGTTCGTTTTTCAACTATCGGCCTGCATAGCTGGTTATGCATTGAAGAGCAACACGGTAGCTTTAGTTCAAAAGCAGCTGTTATCCACCATGGAGCTGTACGGACCTGGCTCATTAGAGATCACCAAGCTCTGGGATGAAGTTCAAGGAGACGTGGGTACAATTATTTTCTTGATTACCACTTGAAGCCCTTCATGACGTACATAGACGTTTGACTAACATTTCCGAAGGTCAAGTTGTTGCCTTAGAAATTTCTGGTACAGAAATATTAAAATAACCAATAAAAAAATTTGCATTTTTGAAGTGCACGCAAATGTTTTTTTTTTTTAATGATTGAAAGATCACTGATGGCCCGGAGGCCTTTCCAGTTTCATCAGGACAGGTGGGCGAGCAAAGGGTCAGTCAGGAGGGGTGGGATTTGCTAACAACTGCTCGAGCGCCTCCGAAGGAGACCTAACAACTCAAGAGCAATTGCTTCTTTTTTCTTTTTTTTTTCCCTACCTAAGCTGATAGCCTTGATAGGCNGTTTTTTTTTTTTAATGATTGAAAGATCACTGATGGCCCGGAGGCCTTTCCAGTTTCATCAGGACAGGTGGGCGAGCAAAGGGTCAGTCAGGAGGGGTGGGATTTGCTAACAACTGCTCGAGCGCCTCCGAAGGAGACCTAACAACTCAAGAGCAATTGCTTCTTTTTTCTTTTTTTTTTCCCTACCTAAGCTGATAGCCTTGATAGGCTATTTCAGCTTCACCCTAACGTGTAGGTGAGTTCACGGGGCTCAAACCGGAGTGTAGCTAACACTAGCCCTAGCAAAAGCAGTGCTTTGCTGAATCTACCACCGGATCGGAAACGCGACGCACTGAGAAGATCCGGCGAGAAACTCAGTGGGCTGTGTCTGAGGGTTAATTTACTCGTCGAGCCCTTCGTCACAAGCGACGGGTTCGACGAGAACGATGACCGGTGATAGCTTTTGGAAACGCTTCATGACGCACATAGACGTTTCACTACCATTTCCGAAGGTCAAGCTGTTGTCTTAGTAATTTCTGGTACAAAAACATTAAAGTAACTATGAAAAAATTGTATTTGATTAAGTTTTGAAGTGTACGCAATCGTTCAAGTATAACCTGCATTGGTCTCACATTACCGATGCTCATGCAGATTTGCTTTACAATGCGGATTCATGAAATTTGAATTGAACTTCTCGAATGACAAGCATTTATGCTTAGCCGAGATTAAATTAATACGAAAGCAACAGTGGAACATTTTTTTTATTAATTTATTCATTGAACAAAATAAATACGTAATGCTGAAAATATTTTCAGTGGTAAACAGAACATGGCTGTGTGCCTAGTATGAGTGTCTTGATGTCCATGGGCCACTGATAACTGACTATCAGGTCTGCCGTGCGGTAGTTAGATCGATGGTAATGAAAAAAAAATATTGTGCATATTAGGGTAGTCTTTTTTTTCATCAATCCTCACATAAAAAGCTTGGTATTTTTTTGATAACGCCATCTGGTTGAGTTTCTTTAAAGCGGTTAGTTGCCCTCAATTGAGAAAAATAGTATTATTATTCGCCAATAGATGTCAGGAAAAGTGGATTATTGAAAACACGAATAAAACAACATTTTCTGAAAATAAATCATAGCTAGATCGATTTATCGCCCCTGAAATCTCCTGTGTACTCAATTTTATGACAATCATTGGAGCTGTTTCCGAGATTCTTCTTGTTTAAAGGTATAAGATCTGTGAAGTAAACAATGACCTGACCGAATTTAAACGAGGAAATGTTGAGCTGTTTATGCAATTGAATTATTATTTATTCCACTAATATTTTTATGTAATGTTAAAAATGTGGTATTTCTAATTTCCAGTTCGAATGCTGCGGTGTAGTTAACTCTAGTGACTGGCTGGCGCCCCTCGGGACGCTGCAATCCAGAGGGCTCCCCGTGAGTTGCTGCAGCCACATTTACGGCACCATCCAGCTGTTCAACTGTACGACCGTCGAGGCCTACCCGACTGGTTGTGCCGAAGCGTTCGGTAACTGGGTACAGTCGCACGCGGCGGCAATAGGCGCGGCTGGCATATTCTTAGTTTTAATGCAGGTATGACTGTTTTTTTTATATATTTTTATTGCTTAGATGGGTGGACGAGCTCACACCTGGTGTTAAGTGGTTACTGGGGTCCATAGATATCTACAACGTAAATGCGCTACCCATCTTGAAATATAAGTTCTAAGGTCTGAGGTTTCGTAAAACAGCTGCCCCACCTTTCAAACCGCAACGCATTACTGCTTCACGGCAGAAATAGGCAGGGTGGTGGTACCTACCCGTGCGGACTCACAAGAGGTCCCACCACCAGTAATTATGTAAATTATAATTTTGCGCGTTTGATTTTTATTACACGGTGTTATTCCTTCACCGTGGAAGTCAATCGTGATCATTTGGTACGTATTTCATTAGAAAAATTGGTACCCGTCTGCCGTATTCGAACACCGTTGCATCGCTCGATACGGACGCACCGGACGTCTTATCCTTTAGGCCACGACGACTTCGTAATTGTTGATTAAACAAAATCATAAATCAAGCTAATCTTACAAGCCACGATTCAATTTTGTACAGAGAATCTAATATAGTACGCGCTAAATAAATGAATTGTATTAAAATTTTCTATTTCAGGCTCTCGCCGTGGCTGGGGCGGTGTGGATGGCGAAGATATCTAGGGAAGAACGAGGGGCGTATCCTTGAGCGATATTCTCGTAAACTATATTTAGTTGTAAATTTCAGTATGTTAATTATTTATGTTTGAGTTTAATGAATACAACGCATGAGGTTTCGTATTAATAGTGTTATTTCGTTAAACGAAGTTGAAAAGTGTTCTTATCAGTAGCTGCTGTGCTTCTGGTTTAGCTGATGTCCATGAGCAACGTTAGCGAATTATAACAACATTACAATTTACTGGTGGTAGGACCTCTTGTGAGTACGCGCGGATGGGTACCACCGCTCTGCCTATTTCTGCCGTGAAGCAGTAATGCGTTTCGGTTTGAAGGGTGGGGCAGCCGTTGTAACTATACTTGAGACCTTAGAACTTATATCTCATAGGTGGGTGGCGCATTTACGTTGTGGATGTTTATGGGCTCCAGTAACCACTTAACACCAGGTGGGCTGTGAGCTCGTCCACTCATTTTAGCAATAAAATAAATATAAAAAAACAGATAATAAAAACAGTAACAAAAGGTAATAAAAACATATTTTTTTTAATTTGAATCAATTTTTTTTTACAAAATCATACAAAGTTGCAATGATTTTTTTGTAGTAATAATAATTTACCCTTACATGTACTTAAAAACTGTTTCTTTAACTAGTAACCATGAAACAATATTTTCATATGAATTATAATTATTTGTTCGATTTTTGTTTGAAAAAACATGTGTAGTTCGTTTTTGGAATTAAGACATTATATAATATGTGCACATCGAGGCTGAAAGAGTATTCGGTTTAAGCTACATTTCTTAATAGGTACGCGGAATTTATCATTATGCTCTATTGCATCTGTCGGGGAACCGGGATAAATTACCCCAAATGGGGTAAAATGAAATTTTGGGGGGTAAAAATGAAACTTTTGTGAGTAAAAAGTATATATGAAGTGAAACTTCTTTAGAATCGTAAAATTTTTAGTTATTGTTTTCTTTTCAAAATTATCATGGCGGCTATAATATGAAAGATGCTAAAAAGAAGCGATTTCTTTTTTTTTTTTTGTTCTTCGCCATGGGGTAATATCAACTTACACAAAAATATTTTGGGGTAATCATTAAAAAAATTCCCCGATCGCTGCTCTATTGATATAGCTGAAGTTTTTATCTTATGATATTTTTTCCAAATTTTAAACTTCAGATGGCTCTCCTGTAAATTTGCAAAAATCTCGCTTAAGCCAAATAGCCTTTTTTACCCTTCGATAGTAAATTTAATGTATAAAATCCTATAAGATATACATAGCTTACAAAATGGCCAGAGTTGAATCGAAATAATAAAATTATTGTATTGTCATCGGTCCTTGATACGTGTGAATGTTTTAAAATTTTGATGTTTGGTGAAAATTAAACATGGGAATTTTTTTATACATCGATGGATACAGGTCTAGCCAACAAAAAACGTGTTAAAAATTAATTATAACATCTATAGTTGTGTTCAAATCAGATATTAAAGAAATTTGGTGAAAGTTGAGTTTGTAAAATTAGTTTTTTTTTTATTCTTTTTTTTTTAAGATCGAAAATCGCAAAAAAGTACAGCTTCTTAAGTGAGAAGGGGAACTTCTTACATGCGTACGTAGTACATACGCAATTTTATATTAATTTAATCAGGTCGTTTGATCGATTTAGTCTTGTCTTTCCACTCCAGGTTCAATTCTTCAGTTCTTGGTCCCTTTTAGATAAATATGTTTGATTTGGTCGTTCTGGATGTTATTATCTCGTGTGTGTTTCTGGTGCTCATAATACAGAAGGATATGTTTATAGAGAAAAGTTATTTGTTTAGTAATCACAGCAGAAACACTTCTGATTTTAGTATCTTCCAATTTCCCCACTATGCAATGTTTGCGAAGATGTCCGTCTGACTCCTTAGCGCCTTTATTCAAATTAGCCTTCATCTGTCAGTGTGGGCGGCGGGATCCACGCTGTGATGCTTAGAGCTCCACCTCTTAACACCACGAGCCGAGAGCTCGTGTGCAATAAATAAGAAGAGTCATTGACAATTAAGATACTACTGATTATTCTAATTATTGGAAACGCGTTGTAGGAGTATTCTCGAATAATGTATGACCCCATATAACGCGTTATGTTCAAATATATATACAATATAACCAATGTTTTTTAAATTCAAAGAGTAGGAACCAAATAAAATAATATAAATTAATTTCACACAATTGACACAATGTGCACAGGTATGCGAAATCAATTATACGAGGGTATGAAATCGCGCAATATGAAAACGCGTTATAAGAATACTGTATTGTAAAGGGGATTATAGTACCTCCATTAATTTTATTTTATATCAATATTTTATTCTTATCGATTTATTGTAAAAGATGAATACAAATAGTTATACTGGTGGTATAGTTATAGTTTTTACTGGTAGGACCTCTTGTGAGTCCGCGCGGGTAGGTACCACTACCCTGCCTATTTCTGAAGTGAAGCAGCAATGCGTTTCGGTTTGAAGGGTGGGGCAGCCGTTGTAACTATTCTTGAGACCTTAGAACTTATATCTCAAGGTGGGTGGCGCATTTACGTCGTAGATGTCTATGGGCTCCAGTAACCACTTAACACCAGGTGGGCTGTGAGATTATCCACCAATACAAGCAATAAAAAAAAAGTTAAAAAAAAGTTACCAGTACCGTCATCGCTAACTTGTCGTACCCCTATCGGTGAACTTCATACAAATAAAGTGCAAATTTCCTCATCAGCTTAGAATATTGAGTGGCTTGATGTCAGTTTGGGCTAGGCGTAATGATTGTTGTAACTAATATGTATATTTAATTTCGTTGATAAGTTATTGAGTATATATTTATGTGAATAATACAATGAAGAATATAATTTGTCTACGTTAAAATGATGTGTTTTTTTTTAAATTAAACCTATTTAATTTTTTGCAGTACACAAAACGAATAAGCTCTTGTCTTTTGCATTTGTCTTATTCGTCTTATCCTTAACGATGACTTCAATGGTATTTAATAACTGCTGTGGCCTAATAGAAGTCGTCGTGGCCTAAAGGATAAGACGTTCGGTGCATTCGTATGTAGCGATGCAACGGTCTTCGAATCCCGCAGGCAGGTACCAATTTTTCTGATGAAATACATACTTAACAAATGTTCACGATTGACTTCCACGGTGAAGGAATAATATCGTGTAATAAAAATCAAACCCGCAAAATTATAATTTGCGTAATTACTGGTGGTAGGACCTCTTGTGAGTCTGCACGGGTAGGTACCACCACCCTGCCTATTTCTGCCGTGAAGCAGTAATGCGTTTCGGTTTGAAGGGTGCGGCAGCGTTTGTAACTTTTCTTGAGACTTTAGAACTTATATCTCAAGGTGGGTGGCGAAGTTACGTTGTAGATGTCTATGGGCTCCGGCAACCACTTAAAACTAGGTGGGCTGTGAGATCGTCCAACAATCTAAGCAATAAAAAAACAAAAGGTTCGACCTCTACCAATTCCTCTTAGCAAATAATACTGAACAAAGTTCCTTATCGGTTGTAAGAAATATTATTAATGTTGTTTATTCAATAAATCAATAAAATCTTAATAGTAAATGTCAAAATTATAAATAAACATGAAATATACATCTTTTTCTCGTCATTCATTGGTCATCGTATTTGTGACTAAGCAAATTATCGTTTGTCCTATTAAATATAACTAAATCGTACTTTTGTTTGCATTAAATACACTAATGAGTTAATGAGGCAAGTGCTAATTTTGGATTCATTCGTTTTCGTAAATTTATGTTATATTTCGAATATAATACATAGGTTTTCTTACTTTGGCCTAATATTCCGACTGGGGTGATGATGATATAAGCGTCTTTTGTTTTGTTGTAAAACTATTAATCGAAATTGAAGATAGTTTTTATTCATTTATTTACTTCTATAAATCGAAATTGAAGATAGTTTTATTTCTTTATTTACTTGCGTATTTTAAAAAGCACTGATCACATTTCACATCACAAACAAATGGCTCATATTTGTCGACGCAATGTGTACCTACGTAAGCAAGATTTTACAGTAGAAGCCATTCCGAAGCCGAAACAAGAATAAAATTCTACACTAAAGTAAACAGAATACTAATTCTTTTTTCTTATTTTTGGTGTTTGTGTTTTTTAACCGACTTAAAAAAAAGGAGATTCTAATTCGACTGTATGTTTTTTTTATGTTTGTTACCTCATAACTTTTGCCTGGGTGAATCGATTTTGATGATTCTTTTTTTATTAGAAAGCTGACGCTTCCCGTGTGATCTCATTTCAATTTAGTCCAGTTCTGATAATGGTATCTATGAGAAAGCCATATAAGTGTTAAATTTGGATTAAGTAGGTGCGCGACAAATAGATGAATAACTCAATATCACGCCGACTGATTTCGATGATTATTGATATTAATTTGTTTTGGAATATCTTTTTTTTGTATTTGAAGTCGTTTTTTGTTAAAGCATGTCTATTTATTTACAATTATTTTATCATGGCCAGCCCATAGCCATCCACTGCTAGCTAGGCATATGCCTCTTCTTATCCGTTTCTTGCCGGATATCCTTCATAAGTCATCGCTCAACCTGGTCTAGGCGTACCCTTTAGAAACGAGATTATTTGACGGAGAACTGAAATCATCGACATGGCTTAATGAGTCAGCGAGCTGTAGTGGTACTGGGCTGGAGGTAGACGCCATATAACGGACGGTTGTTGGAGCAAACAGATCTTTAGTGGAGACCGCTTTTTTTTTTCAAATCAACCTTATGGATCACATTGGGGGTAATTAGCGGAAAGGTGTTTAGTTTTGGGGATGGGCCTGCTGCATGCAAGAGTGAGCAAGTACACGGCAGATTTAGTCTCTGACGGGGCGTGATGTAGACCGATTAGCCTCTGTGGTCTGGTTACGTTTCAATAACACCTTTTGGGGAAACTGAAATACTGTTTTTGCAATTATGAACTTAGCTTTCATTATATTATATTTAATTGATTCCTAATGAAGTGGAACTACAATGCATACATTTAGTTGCATTTGTTTAATTTTTTAATTTATTATTAACACTAATCATACCAACACTTACTGGTACCTATTTCTACCATAGCGGGTAGATAACAGTATGCGATAAGTATTGCTCAAAATAAACAAAACAAAAAAAAAAAAAAAAAAAAGTATAATAATGGTAGATTAATTGGTAAGAAAAACTCATGAAGTCAAATGTGCAAAAGCAATAAGACTATATGTGCATTTTCATTGCAAAAGTTCAAAATGGGTCATTTGATCCGTTATGGTATAGCGTTAAGCTTCTGCGCAATCAAATTTAAATAAGGAATTAAATATTTACAAATTGAAAGTAAAAAAACTGGATGTTATTTTTTCATTGTCCTTGTAAGCAGACGAGCATACGGCCCACCTGATGGTGAGTGGTTACCGTCGCCCACGGACTTCAGCAATGCCAAGGGCAGAGCCAAGCAGCTGCCTACCTTACCTATGGGTTTTAATTACCGCTGTGCGTAGACGAAGCATACGGCCCTGAACATAAACGACTGGGGTCACCGCAGTTCATGGACATCAGTAATACCAGGGGCACGACCGAGCCGTTACTCACTGCTGTTATCTTTCCCTTGAATTTCGTTACAATTAAATGAGTTTATATTGTCCTATTCATTTTGTGATTGTCAGATATGTATCGACTGCAAAATACCGCATGTATCTTTTTTTGTCCGGCCATACTAGTCATTGTTTACTTCAGTAAACTGTAGAGCTGTCCCTCCTATATTTTGCGCAAAACTATCACAATTTCCGGCCTGATTAGCCGAATGACTTATGGGCAATGCAATGAAAATATAATCAACTAGCGGCCCGCCCCGGCTTCGCTTGGGAAGTAGCGCACAACACAATATAATAAATATAACCTATATGTCACCCGGGGATAGCGTAGCTTTCCAACAGTGAAAGAATTTTTTAAATCGGTTCAGTAGTTTCGGAGCCTATTCAATACAAACAAACAAACAAATCTTTCCTCTTTATAATATTATTAGTATAGATGACATTCGCGTTTTGCTGACTCAGTGCTTTTTTTTTTATTGCCCCTGTAAGCAGACGAGCACACGGCCCACCTGATGCGAATCAGTCACCAATACCAAGGGCACAGCCAAGCCGCTGGCTACTAATGAGGGTTCTTCGTAAACCTCGTTAAGAGTAGAACACGTTTTTTTTTGCTTAGATGGGTGGACGTGCTCACAGCCCACCTGATGTTAAGTAGTTACTCGAGCCCATAGAAATATACAACGTAAATGCGCCATTCACCTTGAGATATAAGTTCTAAGGTCTCAGTATAGTTACAACGGCTGCCCCACCCTTTAAACCGGAGCGCATTACTGCTTCACGGCAGAAATAGGCGGTGTGATGGTACCTACCCATGCGGACTCACAATAGGTCCTACCGCCAGTAATAGCGCTCGGGGATCATCGTGATGACCCGGAACCAGGCCTCGTCAGTCAGCGTTGGCTCACAACAGAAAACTGAAACTTGTTTAAATTAGCGCTATTTTAGTCTTCACGCCTCAACGTACTATTGTTTCGCCACGGACATTAGCAGGATAATCGTGCCATTAAAAAATAAGTACGCTTTATTATCAACTAAAATGGTACATTAAATACAAAGATAATTCCAACATTTGAGTGAGTGCAATTGGCGGTTTAATCGCTAAAAGATAATCGATACAGACTTATCTTAAAAAAAAACATTATTAAAAATCAGAAGTTAAGTTAGGTACCACCGCCCTGCTTATTTCTGCCGTGAAGCAGTAATGCGTTTCGGTCTGAAGGGTAGGGCAGGCGTTGTAACTATACTGAGATCTTAGAACTTATATCTCAAGGTGGGTGGCGCATTTACGTAGTAAATGTCTATGGGCTCCAGTAACCACTTAACACCAGGTGGGCTGTGAGCTCGTCCATCCATCTAAGCAATAAAAAAAAACATTAAAACGGTTTCACATATGAGTAATATTGATAAGAAAATATCATAACGTTGTTATTAAAATGGCGACAAAATATGACGTATGTTTATATATACTGATTGGCGACCGCAGCCTGCCATCTAATTGGCTGAAAAGAAACTATAGGTTGACATTTTCCAATTAGGGATGCACGATGTTGAACAAACTACGATTATCGATAATGTGGTAATGTTATTTAATTTGATTTCAATTTAAAAAATATACACTGTATTTTTAAGCTATTGCATAGCTTTTATCGCGGGCCTTGAGTGCGACGACCGAATCATGAAATTCCGTAACGAAAAAAACCTAACACCCCTCACTCCGCCTACCATGTAGCTCGCGTTCAACACATTCACACGTTGCGCTTGTGTAGTGTTTGTGAATAAGCGCGTGGCGTGACGTCACACTGCATGCGCATCATGAAATTCTGCCCATCTCTCTCTCGCGCGGTCTAGCTTATGAGTGTGAAGGGGACAGTTAAGGTTTTGCTTTTATTAATGTTTAATATAGCGTGGTCTTGTTTTATTATTGTTTTAATATTAAATTATCATTGTCTAATTATAATTGCATAAGTTAATAAAAAATGCTATGCAATAGCTTTACCGCGGCAGTTCCCGAGTGCCACACGTTTTTTTGTTCTTATTATTCTCTGTTACTGTTACTGTTAAAGCAGACATCTGCTTAAATGTGAAATACTATAAAATGTGGCATATTCAACGAACCCCACTATTTTTTCTAGACTGTGATCGTCGGGAACAATTATACTAGATAATAATAACAAATACATCTAGAAGCCAAAAATTCAGATACCATTACAAAGATACTGACTATCAATCTCGGACCTCATAGTTCATTAGAACAATGAGGGGATCAAAAACACAACTCATCTTGATTCTTGAGGTCGACGTCGCCCTTGTACTGTAATAATGGATGTCTAACATTTTCAGTCGCATTTCTTAGCAGATATAGACTTTATTATGGTACCTAAATGTACTGGTTTACAATAATATCGATATTGAAAATTCTTGAATTAAGAAAATAAAATATCGTTTCGGTAAAAACGTAGAATTATCGATCATCGAACAACACTAGTGCCAACAGTCGCTTACACATTGACAAGTTGCTATTGGCGGTCAGGCCTCGCGGTTATCAGCGCGTTATAACATTAAAGTTCTTAGTTCACCTGTAATTCTCATACGGAACAAACGAATATTTTTATTGTAAGACATCAATACGTTGCAAAAATGACTCAACAAAAGGAGTTGGGGATGAAGTGCATTAAATACATGCTGTTGTGTATAACAGCGATTTTTGTTGTGAGTATTTTTCATTTTCTTTTATTATGTATTGTGAAACATTTGGTAGTCGCTTATCTAAGCTATTTGTGTCGATACGGCAATGGAAACTGTCTCGTTGAATAAAGGATTTCCTTTCAGTATGAAACGCTGTCACAACTTATTCAATGTTCTTATTTTCATGTTATTTCCTAAGCATAATGTTATTGTTACGTAAATGTATTTTTAAGGATATCAAAACAAAATAAGTACGAAGCGAAACGATACGAAATAAATTATTTCGTTAGTTTTTCTTCGTTTTTTGACACGTCTCATGTTTCGAAGCCTATTCATGAAGTCGCGGTACAAACTTATTGATTGCTTCGAGGGCTTCGCCTAATCGAATTCATAGTCGCTGGCTAATTACAGAATACCCAGGGAGCGATATTAAAAACCATTACGGCTTAACCATTATGGTTGTGATTGAGCCCGTTCGGAGTGGTGTTACAGTTCTTCCTTTTTGTGTATGTAAAAAGGTTTATTATACCTTTTTAATGGGTAGGGTTTTCGTTGCTTTAATAAAATCGAGTTGACCTACCTTGTATTCCAATGATAACATGCAAGTTTGATACAGATAAGTACAGTAGTACTTAATAAAATAAGTAGATTTAAAAAAAAAAATCAATAAATCCTTAAATCGAATTTATGTTAAAAAATACTTTAGTTTCATTTTAAATTGATGTTCTGTGCAGAAAGGATGATTGAGAAATGATATATTTATAGTTAATTTATAAGTTAATTCGGGGTAAATACCCGTGGGACGTTGCAGATTCGAATACTTATGTTACCGGTGTAAACTATTAGAACACATACTAAACCTAGAAATGAATCACGCAAAAGAATAGTGCAGTCCCGAATGACTCGATCGAATCAGTCCGGAAAAGTAAATCAATGACGTCACGCCCATGAATTGTGCAAACGAAGATGTTAAACAAGTTTATCTGATAACAATAATTTCGAAGACGTTCTTTTTTTTGTTTTTCGAAAATGTCGTTTTCGTTTTGCACAATATCTTGAAATAGCGCTTGTAAATATCAAGAAAATTAAAGTAAAACCTTATCCGTTTGTAGAGAGAAACGAAATTCAGAAAACAATGTAGAAATTTATGGATCGACGCCATATGCAAAAAAAAATATGGCTTTAGTTGTTTTTAGCAAATTAATTGACACGGTATTTAACTTAGATACGAAACCGCTGATAAACAATGATAAGCGATAAAATAAATCGATTCGTGTCTATTTCTGTTGAAGTTGTTTCATGTATTGAAAATTTTTGAATCCAGTTTTTGTCGGGTGTGATTCCAGACGAGAACATTAAGAAATCACATTACATTGCGGGTTCGCATAGTTCACTTGCGACTCAAGATTCCTTTAAATATGTTTTATTTATTTCTTCTTCAGTTTTATTATTGTCATTTGTTCTTTAAAAAAAAGGGCTGACATACAGAAAAATAGGCCCTGAACTTTTCATCATTGAATATTATGTATTTTTGAACGCAATGTAACAATAACTGAATCAGTAGGCGCTTTGAATCCGTTGAACTCGAGGGATCACGAGAGACATAATATATATATCGCCCCTGTTATAGTAACCCTGACTAGGGATGTCGGAGTTGCAATAAAATATGGATAACGAGTGTTCCGATTATAATTTTTTGTAAATATCGATAATAACGTTTTCAATATCGATGAATATTTTGTATTATAAACACTATTAAATAAAGGTTCCTACCACGATGTTTAGTTTTAATGACCTCCCGACATTTCGACATTGTTGCAAGTGCCAATATTCCGTGTAGGCTGGAGACTTCGGGTAGAGTGGTAGGAATAGACAAATCTGTCACGCTTAATCTACCACTGGAACTCGATCCACCATCTGAGTGCTACCACTGGAACTCGATGACTCGCCCCTACAATTTATTTTATCAGTATTTTACTAATCACTGCAGGAAAAGGGGTGTGTTATCTTGTTGAAGAAGACAATAGGTATTAATTCTGTGGCGTATTGTGGTGTGGTAATGCGATCTATTTCATATAGTCTATTTCAGATAGTGTATTAAATTATTTTGCAAACCTATCAAGGTTGCCAGTTCATTCAACTTATTTTCTCCGTTTTGTTTTTGTGAAATCTTATTGCAATAACTGATCATTCCAGTCTACAGAACTTTTATTTTTGTGTTTAAATTATAGAAGTTATTGAATAATCAATATGTTATTACTTTTGTACCAAATTACAAGAAGTAGCAACCTTCGTGTCATCTTTTAGCTGACTGCCATAGATTATTCAACACATACGAGACTCAATCCCGAACATAGTAGATGAGCATTCGAGATTTTTTCTTCCACATTGTGAAATGTCAAAGTTTACCGCCTATTTTCAATTTTTTGTTATGACAAATGTAATTTCCGTTTAGTTTTTTAATTTTACGAGATGAACACGACTTAAAACAGTAGCAAGCCTTTATATGATTGCACACAAATAATTTTCTAGTATCCGATCAATTAATCTGATTAGTTAATCTGGTTAAGCCGCGAACTTTACTTTTAATAAATCCGAATTCGATTTGATTTACGAAACTTAGCATATTTGAAGTTTTTATAAGTTAGTAAAGGGGCACTAGAAGACACCCTTCGCGTTGCCTCAAGACATTTTATTCTGTAAATAACATTATTAAAAAACAAAAAATGTATTATATATTATTATTTTTGGGTTTATCCTGTTACAGCTCACTAGCTCTACCGTCAGTCTTCGTTTTTGAGAACACGTTACTATTATACGAAATAGTAATTGAATCATAATTAATTTGAAATTCACACAACAAAATCATCGCCATGTTTATTTTGATGCTATACGTAAGAATATAGTACTGATGTTTATAAATGAATAAATATATAAAATATTTGATTCGAAACAATATTTTTAATAATAATTTCTGTTAAGATATATTTGTAAAAGTTATATGCAACAACAGCCTAATATAATTACGACACAACATAGCTGAATGAGTTTGTATATACGAACAAGGTCAAAGCGATGAGCTATTGATTTTTTTCACCTCGTTGTTATTGCGTCTAATTTAGAAATTCCTCAGAGTTATATTATGTGTGTTTTAAAATTTTCCTTTTAGAGTTTTGATGTTTATTTTGCTAATTCAACGTTTGCCAAAACAGGACGTGTTTATAATGATTTCTAGTCGATTGATGATTGATGATTTTGGATTGTAAACACAATAAACGAACATTTACCATATAAGTGTAGCCTTAGCGTAATTAGCGTCTCAAAGGTAAAATTTAAAGTTATCTAAGCATTTGATTTAATTTTAAAAAGAAAACTAATTACGAAAAATATTACACAATAAATAAAATTATGATATTTTTTTCATTGTTATTTGTGTTGAAACCAATGGTGAATGGTTCACGAGACCATGGCAGTGACATTCCAAATATTGGCCAATAACAGCAAACAATGACAAGCTCCATGAAAACGTCTGACTAATGTACTTCTATCACGTTATGCTGTCGCTGAATGTCTGAAAAAACATTTACTTATAGACTCGCGATTATATATGTATATAGATTTAGATTTCAAGAAGCATCTTTAGAATGTCAACAACAAATTACACAAAGTTTCAAAAATATCGGGCAAACCTTTTAGGCGAACAAACAGGCCAATATACATTTATACGTATATAAAATAATTGGGAATTTTAATTCCACATCCATCTTTAACATCGTTGTTACTAAAGAGAACTGTGAACACGGACAGGACTAAAAATATGAATGGCATTAAAAATTATTTAAATCGACTTAAAAAAATATAGATGCAATCCTGTATAATATTTTAATGTATGACTATTCATTAAAACTAACTACATTTCACTTTGTTTGACGTTTTTCATTTATGATGTTAGGCATGTAGCATTTATTCCCTTTATTAATATATTCGTTTGCATAATTCGTCCTTTAACGTCGTGTACTGTTCCTCTAGTTGACATATAGGTAAATGCGATTGTCAACGTCATTTGCTCTTGCGCGCGTAACAATGCGCTTAGAGCTCTGCGTCATTCTGTCTGACTGCTATATTCTTAGGAAATTATATCATGTTCTTAGTGGTTCGCTTTTGGCAATATTTGTTCGGGTGGCGTTTGGTAATTGATTAAAACTGAAGGACCTAGAGGCTCGAAATTCAAAATATATCTGAATTGGATCACAATGCTTGAAAAATAATAATGAAGTCTGTTAAAAAGAGAGAAAATATATCAGAACACGAATTAAACACAATGCTTAACCTTATTTAGTACTCATCTCTATGTACCTACAGTGTTTTGTACAATTCAAATGTAATTAAAGCTAAAACTGTTAATGTAAAATCTCATTCCTATGTTAACGTTTGTTAATGAATCTATTAAAGGCAAAACAAACATTGTCAATTAGTGTTTAAAAAAAAGCTACGTATATATGCGAAAAATCTTTTTTAAGCCATCTTTAAATATAAATTATGTTTAAATCTTTTTCTTCTTCTTTCTTTCCTATTGCCCTCTGCTGGGGTGTAGGGCTCGAATCAAATCCTTCTATTTACATCGGTCTTGGGCAGTCTGTTTTAAGTTATGCCCAATACGCCCAGTTCCGGCTCTACTGAGCGACGCCAACTTGTTCTGGGAGGACCTCTTTTCCTTCCTTCCTCTTCCTTCTCTGATATGTAATTATGTAACTTAATTTAGATGTTATTAAGTATGTACCGTTAAATATAGAAGAAAATAATTATGAGGAACGTCAATATTACAACTAAACAAATTTCTCACTTTAGTTTGTTGCTTGAATACGGAAACGGCGCTTACTAAAAATAGCTTGTGTGCTTTTCTGCTTTTTTTTAAACCATTGAACTGATTTAAAACTCCCAGCTCTTGTGTCAAAGTTAAATTTTTATTTTTTTATAATTTAAGGGCTATAATAGCTTTCGTAAGCTTTTCTTCTTAAGTATTTGATAATAAGTGTTTACTGACATTCAAAGAAAATATGGTGGGTAGAGTAATTTGCTTAATATTTGATTATCCGTATCTAGTGTCTTCATACTGTTATAACTAGTATTTATATGTATATTACTTATGGTGCATTCAGCAAAACGATGTGTTGTCATATTCGCGATCGTAATTTGATTATTCATAATCGATATCTTGCAGTTACAACATTTTTGCTAAGTTCATTGTGTTTTCCAAGTAAAATTTATATAATTTAAATTCTTTTAAAGAAAAGCAGAGAATTGCGTTTTTTTTTTAAAGATAGACAGTTTTGAGCTCTTAACAGTACTTACGTTAAAACCTATAAATATCAAAGTCAATCAATTTAGCGGTAGGCAGCGGCTTGGCTCTGCCCCTGGCATTGCTGAAGTCCATGGGCGACGGTAACCACTCACCATCAGGTGGGCCGTATGCTCGTCTCCCTACAAGGGCAATAAAAAAAGCGGCCTAGACTACAGTGTGCTTAGTGAGAGTTTTTTAACTTCTCGATCGCGTAAAAGTTAACTCAAATTTGTATGGAGTCGGAACAGCGCCCCTAGCGGCAAACGGAGGAAAGCTGTTTCAAGCACACTGAACGTATGTACGTATGTGGTATCGTCTCGTTTTTGTTTCTGTCAATCGAAATTCTACTCCTTAAGAAAGTTTACAAAGAGAACGTTTGTTTTTTAATTATTTCACAAAAAAAAATGTATCAGTACTAGTGTGCTGAAATATGTTATTAATATTATGTTATTCGAAGATAAACGCAAGCATCTTTCAAACATTAAGTCGTTTTTTTTACACAGGAATATTATGTCTCATATTTAGAAACAGCATCGATCTGGCCGCCAAAGTAGTTTGAATCACGAACGAAGTTTCCAGACGTGGTTTTCCTTTAGAAATATCAGGGAATTTCCCACAGCGCTATCGCGTAACCGCTTGCTGAACGATTTCATCTTTGATTTTTTATTTAAAATCGTATACAATTTTCATCCATTTTTAAGAAATAAAAAGTCAGTTTGTTTCTTAAGAATGTGGAAGGAAGATAATTTTTTTAATTCACATTTAATGACAGTCATTTGTTGGCATATTAACGTTGTAGGTTAAGTAAATAAACTTAGTACTAACTACTGTAGTAGTAGTAGTGTGTAGTAGTAAATGGTAAGTATCGTTTTTGTTTACCATTTTTTTTGCAACAGCTCTAGATGAGTAAGTGAGCTAACGGCCCATTTATGGTTACAGAAGCTCACACCACGAATGCCAAACCGGTCATCGATCTGTAAGCGTTTTTAATGATGTCTATGTAAGATGTAGTTTGATGATGCTATATCGACTGAAGGACTGACTCTCCGGTCATCGTTCTCGTCGCACCCGTCGCTTGCGACGAAGGGCTCGACGAGAAAATTAACCCACAGACACAACCCACTGAGTTTCTCGCCGGATCTTCTCAGAGGGTCGTGTTTCCGATCCGGTGGTAGATTCTGCGAAGCACGGCTCTTGCTAGGGTTCGTGTTAGCAACGTCAGGTTTGAGCCCCGTGAGCTCACTTACTAGCCCGGTGACGCTGACACGGTTTCTCTAGACCATAGCTTAGTTAAAAAAAAAACGAATGCCACTACTCATCTCTAAACATGAATTTTTCTATTATATACTTATGCATAATCGAACCTTCAAATAAGATTTCATGAGATGACGAGCATGACTGCTCATTGGGGCATGTATGCTCTATCATCTCTAAATACGCAAAATATTTTTGCGGGTTTTCTTTTTTCTATTTGCCTGCGGGATTTGAGTTCAAGTCACATCGCTCGTTAGGTTTTTAATATATTATGGGGCGATGGCTATTAAAATTGGCAAAAAGCACATTTTAATATTAATATAATATCTTATGTTTCCAGCTAACATCGGCACTGACGATCTCCGTGGGTACTACGATTTACGCGATCTACCATGACATCTATTTCTTCCTGTCGCCAAACGCCTTCTCTCCGGCTATCTTTGTCATCGCGATCGGCGTCATAATGCTGTTTGTATCTCTCTTCGGCTGCATCGGTGCCCTGAAAGAGAGCACCTGCTTGGTTAACATTGTAAGTCAAGTTATATTAAATTCATCATCATTGTCGGTTGCACTTGGCAGAGCTGTCGTGGTCATGTGGAATATTTGTTTATTAAAGCCTTGACAGATGTTCTCCATAGTTCGCGAACTGAGGCTTGGGGCACGCACTTTACGTGGGGTTTTGGTAAGGTTTTTCACTTGATCACAGGTGGACAAGCGAAGACACAGCCAGCAGTGGTGTCATTTGCTAACAGCTGCCCGAGCGTCTCCGAAGGAGATCTAACAGCTCAAAGGCAGCTATTGTAGCGTATGATCGTATCTAAAAATGCGTTTACGACCTATTAGCGTAATGTGCGACGTCCTTCAGAGGATTTTTGCCCATAGATATCTATAAGGTAAATGCCACCACCTACCTTGAGATATGACTTCAAAGGTGTCAGTTTTTACAGTACGACGGCTACCCTACCTTTCAAACCGAAACGCATTACTGCTTCACGGCAGAAATAGGCAGAGTGGTGGTACCTACCCGTGCGGATTCACAAGACGTCCTACCATCATTAAAGCCTCGTGTTTAGGAACTTATCTTGTTTCCAATTTATCTAAAACCAAAAAGTTTGTACGGCACATGATTAGTTTAGCGATAAAAAGTATTAAACTAAAATAACAATAATATTGATCAATAAATTACATTAAAATTCATAAAGTGATTTTGTAGTCAGAAGAATGACAAAAAAATTAATGATGGCAAAAGTTTCAACTAAATAAATAGAACCAATACGTTTATGTAGTTTTCGAAAGCGTGCTTATTTAGAAAATGTTCGTAATCAGGGTACCTTATTTGATTTATATAAATATACATACATATATAATCAATACATACATATATAATCAAATATAATATATATAAAAAAAATACATAATTGTGATAAAAAATATATTTATAAAACATTTAAAATACATTACAATTACCTGAATTTGTTTATCTATTTAGTACTCCGAACTGACTCATTTGATAAAGGTACAATGAAATCGAACACAGGGTACCGATTTCGTATCAACAAGATATATTCATTTAGAGCGTTATCGCCGCGAGTTTCAATTATCAGTGTTCATAAAGTGATTTTTTCCTCATAGTCTCGAGAGGATCTACGGTCATTGGGCACAATAAAGTCTGATAGGAATGAAAACCATTATCTAGGGCACCGTGGACCTTTGTGGGATCGTAGCTCGGCCTGCCATCAGTGTCAATATGAAGCTATCAGGTTTAAGCGGGTTAGGGGACAGCCCTGCGTATAAAATTCAATCTTAGTCCTCATGTCTCAAGGTCAAACCACGTAATATCGGGTGACCCTTGAGTAATTGTATACCAATGTACCAATATAATTCCTTCGTTTTGGAAGCTGTTCATAAGCACGATTTGCTAACAGTTACTAAGGCTCTGCTGTGTTCAGTTCGCAGTGATCCTTAGCATCGTGTTCATTCTGGAGATCGCGGCGGCCATCACTGCTTACAGCCTCCGTAACGAGGTCTCACAGTTTCTGGACAAAAAACTTAGAGAAGCACTTCCCCTGTACTACCAGCACGGTGAAGCGCAGGATGCATTTGACTTCATTCAATACGAGGTACTGTGTTATACGTCTTTCTACATTATTACAAACTTGGAAATTGTTAACTAATTCGAAAATAAAGTTAACTATTTCTAATACTAAAAACCTTAAGCTAATATGTACCATGAATATTTCATGATAAATTTTCGAGTGACCTATGGATTGATCAAGTTGTTGATCCATCGAAGACAGAAACCACAACATGAGAGTACATATCCATTTCGACGCAGATAAGGATGTCTTTTTCTTTCCACTGCAAGTTAATTTAGTTGGTAGCACTTGCCTGTCTCCATCGCTTAATGTTTGTCAACCTTTGGACGGGCAGAGCATTTCACAATACACATTAATGATGTCCTTAACGAAATCGATGTTAGGCGGTCGCAAAAGGCATCTAAGGTATTTAAGTCGTCGTGGCCTAAAGGTTAAAACGTCCGGTGCATTCGTATGTAGCGATGTACCGGTGTTCGAATCCCCCAGGCGGGTACCAATTTTTCTAATGAAATACGTACTCACCAAATGTTCACGATTGACTTCCACGGTGAAGGAATAACATCGTGTAATAAAAATCAAACCCACAAAATTATAATTTGCGTAATCACTGGTGGTAGGACCTCTTGGGAGTCCGCACGGGTAGGTACCACCACTCCGCCTATTTCCGCCGTGAAGCAGTAATGCGTTTCGGTTCGAAGGGTGGGGTAGCCGTTGTAACTATACTGAGACCTCAGAACTTATATCTCAAGGTGGGTGGCGCGTTTACGTTGTAGATGTCTATGGGCTCCAGTAACCACTTAACATCAGGTGGGCTGTGAGCTCGTCCAATCTTCTAAGCTATAAAAAACAAAAGCAGATTGGGCAGTAAAAAAATCTAAGATTATATCGATTGGCATATACCGTTGTCCTGAAGCTGTCGTTGGTGTTTCTATTTTAGTTGAACTGCTGCGGCGTCGACAGCTACATGGACTGGCATGCGGTCGACCCCCCCACTGGAGGGATAGGCATTAGCTTTGCCAATCTCACGGTCCCCGATTCGTGCTGCGCCCAATCCCACGTGACTGTTGTCGGTGAAGAGACAATTGTAGAGTGCCATAAGATCTACGCCAATGGTTGCCTGCCCAGAGTCTATTATTTGGTTAACCAAAGCGCTGGGTTACTTGGAGCTGGCGCGCTGACCATTTGCTTCATTCAGGTTAGTATTCTTTATGCAAAAATACACTTTATCCTCCATTTTCTCGTCGCCTCAAATACCTCATTAATGATGGTGTTGATCGTCAGTGTATTGATTCACGAATTCATTAAGTTACTCCATTTCTGACATCTGACATTAGCTTCTCGATATTAGCTTCTTACGTGGGTTCAAGTTAACCTTTATTTTTAAGTAAAACTACATTACAATGCGTTTTACGTAAGAGTGGGAATGACTATAGTAAAAAGGTAGAAAAAAAAGAGCAAAAATTATTTGGATTTACATTTTTCTGTCTTAAGTAGACTTAAGAAGGAATACAGTTTTAACCACCCTAGAGGCCTTCGCAACTAAAGAGGAAGGAAGGGCTCGATTTTAATATTAACAAAAAAAAATCATACAGATTGGAAACAAAAAAGGAGCACTTAGATGTAAAGTAGATTTAAAAGTATGTTCACCCAATATGAAAATTCAAACTATTTTTTGTTTAGTTGTAATAATGCTGTATTTTTTCATTTGTCAAATAAGACGAAAAGTCGTATTTTTACTGATGTTAAGACCTCTTGTGAGTTCGCACGGGTAGGGACCACCACCCCGTCTATTTCTGCCGTGAAGCAGTAATAAAGCGATTCGGTTTGGAGGGTGGGGTAGCCGTTGTAAATATACTGAGACTTTGGAACTTATATCTCAAGGTGGGTGACGCATTTACGCTGTAGATGTCTATGGGCTCCAGTAAACACTTAACAACCAGGTGGGCTGTGAGCTCGTCCACCCACAAATAAATAAATAAAATTTGAATTATTTCGCAAAGCCCACATCTATTTCAGATAATCGGAATCGTTTTCTCGTTCTCACTGGCGAGCTCGATCCGTAAAGCCAAGATCGAACGCGAACGCAGACGCTGGNTTTTCAGTATGTTAAAAATTTGAATTGGCGCGTAACCGCAACGATGCAACGCAATAACTGCAACACGGTCTTCTTTAAGCGTCCACTCCATATTTAAAAATGAGTAAAATTCTAAAAGTATACATTTTTATTTTCATGAACAATTCGAAATTCGAATTCAATAAACTTTTTTGTGGCCAGCATTCTAAAAGAAAAGTTTTTACTGTGTGACAATACTTATGACCTGACTAGTTATTATGGCGCGATGCCTGTTAAAATTGGCAAAAATCACTTTTTGATATTAAAATATCTTATGCTTTCAGCTAACATCGGCACTGACGATCTCCGTGGGTACTACGATTTACGCGATCTACCATGACATCTCTTTCTTCCTGTCGCCATACGCCTTCTCCCCGGCTATCTTTGTCATCGCGATTGGCGTCATAATGCTATTCGTCTCTCTCTTCGGCTGCATCGGTGCCCTGAAAGAGAGTACCTGCTTGGTCAACATTGTAAGTCAAGTTTTTCCGATCCGGTATTAGATTCTTTCGCGAAACAGCTACTCCTGAGTCGTTAGGTCTCCTTTGGAGTCGCTCGGGTAGCTGTTAGTAAATCCCACCCCTCCTGGCTGAGCCTTTGCTCGCCCACCTGCCCTGGTAAAACTGAAAAGGCCCACGGGCCACCAGTGACTTCTCAAACATAAATATATATATTAAAATACACACGCTTAATTATTGTTTGTTGTTTTCCTTCGTTGAAGTCGGTTAAATTCGTTTTTAACTGTAGCGTTTTTTTTATCAGGGTACCTTAATTTATTTATATAATTATACATAAATATATAATAAATAAATACGTACACGACGTACTGGTAAATTTGTTTCGTAAATAAAAAAAAAACAAATTTCAAATAAATTCCCTGAATTTGTTTATCTATTTAGAGCTGATTCATTTGATAAAGGTACAATGAAATCGAACACACAGTACCGATTTCGTATCAACAAGATAAATTCATTTAGACCGTCATCGCCGCGAGTTTCATTTATCAGTGTTCTTAAAGTGAATTTTACCTCATAGGCTTGAGAAAGATCTAGGGTCATTAGGCACAACATAGTCTAATAGGAATGGAAACCATTATCCAGGGAACCGTGGACCATTACGGGATCGTAGCTTGGCCTGCCATCAGTGTCAATATGAAGCTATCAGGTTTAAGCGGGTCAAACCACGTAATATCGGGTGACCCTTGTGTAATTGTATACCAATGTTATTCCTTCGTTTTGGAAGCTGTTCATAAGCACGTTTTTTTTTATACTTTATTTATACTTTACAAAACAAATTACAGTACATATTAGCTAAATCGTACAAGTAGTACCTAGATCTAATCTGGATTGCAATCTAAATAGTATGTGCACTCAGCAAAACCTGGTTGAATAATGTGCATAGCTTTGGCTATTAAAAACACATTGATTTGCTAACAGTTCCTAAGGCTCTGATGTGTTCAGTTCGCAGTGATCCTTAGCATCGTGTTCATTCTGGAGATCGCCGCGGCCATCACTGCCTACAGTCTTCGCAGCGAGGTCTCACAATTTCTGGACAAAAAACTTAGGGAAGCACTTCCTCTATACTACCAGCATGCTGAGGCGCAGGATGCATTTGACTTCATTCAATACGAGGTACTCTGTTATACGACTATATCTACATTATTACAAAATTAAAAATTGTTAACTAAGTTTGAGAACAGCCGAAAACAATGTTAACTACTTCTACTACTAAAAGCCTCAGCTAATATCAACCATGAATATTTAGTCATAAACTTTCGAGTGACCTATGAATTGATCAAGCTGTTGTTCCATCGAATTGTACTGGTACTGGTGGTAGGACCTCTTGTGAGTCCACGCGGGTAGGTACCATCACCCTGCCTACTTCTGCCGTGCAGCAGTAATGCGTTTCGGTTTGAAGGGTGGGGCAGCCGTTGTAACTATACTGAGACCTTAGAACTCATAACTCAAGGTGGGTGGCGGCGTAGTAGATGTCTATGGGCTCCAGTAATCGCTCAACACCAGGTGGGCTGTGAGCTCGTCGTTTCTAAGCTATAAAAAACAACGATTGGCATACATCGTTGTCCTGAAGCCGCCGTTGGTGTTTCTATTTTAGTTGAACTGCTGCGGCGTCGATAGCTACATGGACTGGCATGCGGTCGACCCCCCCACTGGAGGGACCGGCATTAGCTTTGCCAACCTCACGGTCCCCGATTCGTGCTGCGCCCAGTCCCACATGACTGTCGTCGGTGAAGAGACGATTGTAGAGTGCCATAAGATCTATGCCAACGGTTGCCTGCCCAGAGTCTATTATTTGGTTAACCAAAGCGCTGGACTACTTGGAGCCGGCGCGTTGACCATCTGCTTCATTCAGGTTAGTATTCTTTATGCAAAATTTCACTATCACCTCCATTTTCTACTTACCTCGAATACCTCGTTACTGATGGTCTTGATCGCCAATGTATCGATTCTCGAATTAATTAAGTTATTGCATTTCTGAAATCCTTAGCTTCCTACATGGGCTCAAGCTTTTCAAGTCGGTTCAAGTTGGTAATTTTACGTAAAACTACATTAAAATGCGCTTTACGTAAAAGCTTGGAGCAACGATAGTAAAAAGGTAGAAAAAAAAGAGCAAAAATTATTTGGATTTACATTTTTCTGTCTACTTAAGACTTAAGAAGGAATACAGTTTTACCCACCCTAAAAGCCTTCGCAACCACAGAGGAAGGAAGGGCTCGATTTTAATATTAACAAAAAAAATCGTACAGATTAGAAATAAAAAAGGAGTTCTTAGATGTAAAGTTGATTTAAAAGTATGCTCATCCAATATGAAAATTCAAACTATTTTTTATTTAATTGTAATAATGCTGTATTTTTTCATTTGTCAAATAAGACGAAAAGTCGTATTTTTACTGATGGTAAGACCTCTTGTGAGTTCGCACGGGTAGGAACCACCACCCCGCCTATTTCTGCCGTGAAGCAGTAATAAAGCGATTCGGTTTGAAGGGTGGGGCAGCCGTTGTAAATATACTGAGACCTTAGAACTTATATCTCAAGGTGGGTGACGCATTTACGCTGCAGATGTCTATGGGCTCCAGTAACCACTTAACAACCAGGTGGGCTGTGAGCTCGTCCACCCACAAATAAATAAATAAAATTTGAATTATTTCGCAAAGCCCACATCTATTTCAGATAATCGGAATCGTTTTCTCGTTCTCACTGGCGAGCTCGATCCGTAAAGCCAAGATCGAACGCGAACGCAGACGCTGGGAGATCCAGGAGCGGATGATCAACGCCCACACTTCCCTGAACCCTAACAACGAGAAAGTCGCCCCGGTGGTGTACGTTCCGTTCCAAGGACAGGCCGGCGCTTAAGTTGCGCGAAGATAATGCTTACATTAAAACAATTAAATCGATATCTCCCGCACTAAATCGATTATTACGATACCACAAGTCCGCGTGCCCTTTTCAAATTGTCCACGTTCTACGGAAGTGATTTTAATATCAGTGATGTTTTCATTAATGCTTTTTAGTCACGATAATCGATATGTTTTTTTTGTTTTTTAGCGCAACACACGTTTCATTTCACGTAATAAATTTGAAACTTTTTCGATTACTTATCGAGTTTTCACAAACAAATATGTACAATAAATGTCACGAATAAAATCCTTCTGTGATTTTATCGTTAGCGTTGTTTAAAACTTAACAAATTTTCAATAAAATATATTAAAAATAAAAAATGTTTTCCTTTTTTGAAATGATTCATATAAAGACTCAATTAGGATATCGGAATTCACGCTGTGATAATATAATTAGGCTTACCCCCTTACCAGACGAGTTGTGCGCTTGTTTACAAATTTATAAAAAAGATAATTAAAAAAAAGGTAGGCTACAACTTCACTGGACGTCGGATGGAAATATTTCGGAGAAATCGGTTTAAACTAAATTTATACTTATGTACTTAATTTACTTATACGAAACTTATTATTTTACGATTTCTAAAATTCCAATAAATATGTAATTTAACATTTTATGGACGTTTAAATAAGTTGTGAATGAAATGCAAATCTGTATCTTATTTCAATTTAGATAAACGAAAACAACATAGAATGTAAATTTTAATTTAATTTTAAATGTTACATTTATTTTAATAATATGTTGTGATTAAGTGACGTAAAACATTGAAAAATAAATAATTATGTTTTTATTTCATATATTTGCCTTGCAAATGTGTGTAAATTAAAAATGATTATAATATACCTAATTATTATACACATAATATATGTAAATAATATATTATACTATTACATATACTTTTATTTAACTCTCAATAGAATTTACGACCAAATTTTGCACTTGCACTGACGGTGCATTTCATTGACGTCTTATATTGTACGTAGCTGAAAAAGTAAAGTGGCATCCAGTAATAAAAAAAATATATATTAAAAAAACAAATTTTTAACATCATTTTCTTACGTTATATCCTATCTAAAAAAATATATCATTTTCTTAGGATGTATATATCTATATAATAATATGTATGTAGAATATGTACGTACATATTATAATATGATTTTCACGTATCATTAACAGATGATAATGACGATATTACTATTTTGAATACCAGACAAAATTTTATAAAAATGCCCATTTCCTTTTTTTTATATATTTTTTTTGTTCTTAAATCTATGTTAGTACATATATGTATCATGTAACAAACAATATCTGGACATGGAGTTGCCTAGTAGGCAGCCAGACCAGGAAATGAAGGAATTTAAAAAGTTTTTTAGAAACAACATTTTATAATATTTTAACTTTTTACAGTAAAGCAGGATGTTGGTAACCTCGATAATAGCATGTTAATTTGCCGGAAAATATTCACGAAGTCTAGAATGCGGTAAACCAAAATCGTAACGAACATGCTATGCAATATTTATTTGCCAAACCAAAAATAAATACTGTTTGTTTTAATAAGTTCATATTTCGTGAATATTTCTAACCACTGGACCACTTTGGAACTAAGGGCTTAAATACGACCATCACCAATGCCACTAATAATGAAAACTGCTAAGAGACTAACCACTATTAGCACTCGTGAACACGTTTCATATTTTGTAGATATAACCTTAAGAGTTACACTTTTTTTTTATTGCTTAGATGGGTGGACGAGCTCACGGCCCATCTGATGTAAGTGGTTACCGGAGCCCATAGACATCTACAACGTAAATGTCGCCACCCGCCTTGATACATGAGTTGTAAGATCTTATCTCACTTTTAACAGTACAACGACTGTCTCACTCTTCAAACCGAAGCGTATTACTGCTTGACGTTAGAAATAGGCAGGGTATTGGTGCCTACTCGTGCGGACTCACATGTGATCCTACCACTAGTAATTACGCAAACTATAATTTTACTGGTTTCATTTTTATTACACGATGTTATTCCTTCACCGTGGAAATCAATCGTATTTTATTGGAAAAATTGGTACCTGCCGGCATCGCTTCGTGCGAATGCACCGGTCGTCTTATCCTTTAGACCGACTTCAAATATTATTGCAAATGGTAAATGGTATTTAATTATGAATGAAAGGCGATTGCGTGCAGCAGAGATGCGAATGTTGCGATGGATGTGTGGAGTAACGAGAATGGATAGAATACGGAATGAATATGTTAGAGGAAGTCTGAAAGTGGCACCTGTGACAGAGAAGCTGAGAAGTGCGCGTTTGGGATGGTATGGGCATGTGATGAGACGAAATAAAAATGAGGTTGGTAAGAAAATGTTAAGTATGAATGTGGAAGGATATACAGGAAGAGGTAGACCTAAGAAGAAATGGATGGATTTCGTGAAAGACGATATGGGTAAGAGAGGAGTGAGCGAAGAAATGGTATATGATAGAAGAGCAAGGAAGGAGAAAACATGTTGCGCCGACCCCAGGTAACTGGGAGAAGGGCAGGATAATGATGACGATGATGGTAAATGGTATTTAAATTGGCTGAGATTGTTCTGTTAACAGGACTTTTTGTCTAGCCTATTTCAAGAGCTTAAAGTAATATGTGCGTATGTGCGAGTTTATGTATTTAAGTGCATTAAACCCATTATCGTACTTAATTCACCAACGATAAACATTATCATGAACAAAAGATTATATATTGATATCGTTTATTTTAGATGTGGTGAGGATTAAAATTTTATACGATAGCTCCTTATATTTTGAAGCTAAAAGAAAATGTTCTTAAAAGCGAAATTGTGGTAACGTAAACGCAAAACTGTTAATTAAAAAAAAATTATATGCTTATTAATTATCTTTTATAACGCGCACATCCCTAGTTATTCTCCCCGTGGGTCTTGGAGGGGCGTGCATGCGGGCGGCAGAGATGCCACCGGCCGACCACGAATTTTCGAGAAAGGAGTCAGTCTTTTTTTTTTTCGTACCTAAACTGAGAGCCTTGAGAGGCTATATCAGCGTAATCTTAACTAGTAGGTGAGCTCACGGGACTCAAAACTGACGACGTTGCTAACACGAACCCTAGCAAGAGCCGTACTTCGCAGAATCTACCACCGGATCGGAAAAGCGACCCACTGAGAAAACCCGGCGAGAAACTCAGTGGGCTGTGTCTGGGGGTTAATTTACTTAATTTTGCGACGAGAACGATAACCGGAGAGTCAGTCCTTCAGTCGATATAGCATCATCAAACTATACCTTACACAGACATCATTAAAATCTTAAACTGGAATAATTTTAATTCGTTATACTTTATAATAATACCCTGCAAAATCGGGATTGGATGACCTGTGTGCTTAGTGCGAGTTTTAGCCCAATTTTGTATGTAGTTGGAATTGTGCCTAGCGGCAAACGTAGGCGAACGATCCCATTCCATACAAATATGAGCTAACTTTAACGCTATCGAATGTGCGGATCGCATGAGCGAACACTACACGTGCATAGGCCATGACGGAACGTATGCAAGTTTTGTAGAGTGTCACATTGTTATGAAGGGACAATTTACTTCGCTAAGATCCTACTGACTTAATGTGGAGCCCGAATGTCATCCGTCTGTCGAGGGTGACGCCTAGGTACTTAGCCTTTGAAGCCTATGGTATATGGGTTGGCCAAAGATTTAATGACGGGAATGGAGTTACCGTGCCTAATTGGTGATGAGATACTAGCAGCAGTGTCGGGAATGAACTAACGTGGCACGCATTGGACACTACGCTCGGGAGCGATATAGTATTGTCTCTCTGTTAAAGAAAACAGCGATGTATATACTAAAATCATGTTTCGACCACAAACAACCAAGCAGCCATTATTTTCGGCATTATTTCCCTCTTTATTTGCTGCATACGACCGACGAATTCGGCCCCAATAGACGCCAATAACGACTGTTCCATCTTTTAAGACGGAACGCAAACCTACGGAGTATTGGTTCAAAGCTTGTTGGGTTCCCATATACCATTTTCCCCTCCTACTTATTTACCGGTAGTCTAAGGGACTATCCCAGCTATACACTGGCTGGTTGGTGAGCTCACCGGCTCAATCTAGGAGAGTTGCTAATACTGGTTTTAGCAAGAGCAGTGCTTCGCGTAATCTACCATCGGATTGGAATTGTGACCTACTGAGAAGACCCGGCGTGAACTTTTTTGGGTATAAACTATTAAATACACCATATTTGGCCTCTTTGGTATATTTGGCAAATTTATCCTCTATGTGCTCCAGAAACCACTTAATACCAGGTGGGCTGTGAGTTTGTCCACCCATAAAAGCAATTAAAAAAAAACTTTGCCATGAATAGCTTGTCGATTTTGTGTAGGTCTACCTTTTAGAAACACTAACTTGTGTTGCCTCTTATATTTAATGTCTTGCGTAACAAGAATCTATAATTGAAATCCAAAGACGTAGTTTTCTCGTTGTCATGGAGATTATGATACAACAAAACAAATAACCCACTGAAAAGGTACTTATCTAGTGTAAAATTATTATTAAGATATGTCCAGTTCATAGATTATACACTTAATATTATATGAGTCCAGTTTGTAAGCGGCAAGGAACACACTACTACAAGAGTTAGTTCATTTAATTGAACAGTTTTTCAGGTTTGTGAAAACTTCTGATTTGTTTTAAAGATATAAACTTAGTTTATTGATTTGTGTTAGATCTATATCTAACTACACCCGTCTAACTAGTTGAGCTTTAAGCAGTCATCGCACCAGGTGGGCCGTGAGCTCGTCTACTCATTACAACAATAATAGAATAATATAGTTATAATAATCAACAAAAAGTAGGCCGTGAATACATTGAAAAAAAAACTTGTGCAATGAAAATAAATTTACTCGTTCATTTTGGAGAAAATTGTTCAGTAGTGGTCTTTTAGCCCGTGATGATTCCTCGTATGAGTACGTTATATGTATATAAAAGGCTAATAAGTTTTAAACAAAGCACAACAAAAAAAAGTTGCGCGTGCAACTTGGAGCACGTGAAAGAAGTGAAACTTCTTTTGCGGTGTGTAGTATTGTAGTTTTCTTAATTTTAATAAAATTTCTCTTTTAATAGGGAATGCTGTGTATAAGAGAAACGACCTAGCTCGCATTGTTTTTTCCTTCTCTCCATGGTCAAGTAATTCACGAGACGCTCTGTCTATTTTCTCACTCTCGCTCTTCCTAAATTGTATCTTTTCTCTCTAGCCGCAACGAATCTGTCGCGAGTTAAATTTTACTTTCAACGCGCCTTAAGAAGTTTCACTTAAAAAACCGTATTTTCAACAGATTGATCTATTGAAAATACGCTTGTCTGTCAAAACACCAAGAGAATCTTCAGCAAGAGTTTGCTAGGACAATAAACTGAATATATTATAGTTATAGCTAGTTCTTTAAGCGCACCTTAATCCTCTTTTAATTGTTACACATCCCAACACAAATATGTAGTAAAGTAATCTAGAGATTGTAAACAAAATATTTGCCTACACTAAACAATCAACACGCCGACTTAAGACATGCTATTACAATATATCGAAGAATCGAGTCTTTGTTACAATGATTTTATAACAAGGATGTGTAAATTAATCATACGTTTGTAGTTTTCTCTCGACATGTAACATGAACTATACTTGAGACCTTAGAACTTATATCTCAGGGTGGGTGGCCCATTTACGTTGTGGATGTCTATGGGCTCCAATAACCAGTTAACACCAGGTGGGCTGTGAGCTCGTCCACCCATCTAAGCAATAAAAATAAAAAAAATAAAAAAAAACATAGACAGGCGTGTGATTTTCATTCATATGTTTTAAACATCTATTTTATTATCCCATAGCTATTATAAATTATTCAAAAAAAGTTTGTCTTGTGGAATTAAGATTTTTCGTTATTGAGCGAAATCAAATTTGCTTTATCTTTTATAAATTGCTTTATTAGAAAGTTTTTTGGTAGATTATATTTATTTATTAAGTAGCTAGAGTGTTCTGAATGAAAATCTGATTTCACTAAAATAATTAATTTTTTTTAATTAGGTAGTTGGAATATTTAGCTTACTTAGAAAAACTGCAATCGCTAGCATGCCTTTGGATCATACCCTTCTAGAGCTATAAGTAGTTAAAAAAAGGAAGCCATATCAGCACACATTCTTATCAGATTACTAATTTATCAGGCGGAAACTTGTCAGTTCTGTAAAGGGCATCGGACAAAGAAGTTCAGTTTTATCAAGCGGAAACAGTGCAAGGAAAATGGCGGCCGTCACTGCTCCGAACGCACAAAAAATGCATTTCACGAAGACCGAAGGGGAATACAATATGAAATCTATCCGGTTTTTACTCCTAATGATTACTACTATGTTTATTGTGAGTATTACATATTAAACTTTATTATATTCACGTCACTTATATACAACAAATACTTCGGTGCACTGATTTTCATGACATTGTGTTAATTTGTAACTAGTGACAGGACGAATAATAAAAAAACTCATGAATGATTTATATTGTTGTTCCAAAAATATTATTAAAATAAAATTGGCCAGTGTGAAGCCATGGTCCATTGGGATTTTCATTAAATGGATAAAAATCAACAAGTCATTCTCTCCACTTGTTGTTCGTTAATAGTATATCTTCTAACGTGCCTTATAAATAATAGCTGTACAAATCAATAGGACTAATGACGAACGTATAGTGCACGACCAAAGACAATAATCGTTTTTAATAGTCATGCTTTTCGATTTTCGCGCGACGTAGACATGTTTAAAAGTATTTTTACGGTTTAATTTAGCGTTTTTTTAAGTGTCGTTATTTATTCGTAGTTCCGAAAACCGAAAATTATTTAAAACGCCGGAAACAATGTAATGACAATTAAAAACGCGTGATTTTAAATGTGAAAGTAAAGTTTTATTTATAAGCCGTTTGGTTATAGAAGATTAGCTCGACGCGATTCGACATTACTTACATAAAAATAAAGTTTATAAAATGTCCACAATAAGTCAATACGTCCGCTAAACAAGCGACCATAACTTTGTTTATCAATCGATTTATCATTGGTCATTTTTAGGTAGATTGTACAAACATAGATTTGAAATCTATCTTATCAGGTATAGCAATAATAAAAACACAATTTAAGTATTGACTATTTGTATTGACTTAATCGTCAATAATGTGATCGTGTCGTATAGACATCGTATAGGTCATATAAAACACACGCAGTAACGCTGAATTTAGTAGCAAGATGCTGAAATTATTATTATAACCCCTCTTGAGATTATAACATCATCGCCTTTCGCATCACCCGGGGGTGCAAAATCTATTTTAGCTGGAACCTTTATTGGCTTTAGTAACATACCTTAAGCCTCTGGAATTAACTCCCATCAGCGGTGTTTCCAGATCGCAAAGACATGTACTTATTCAAAGGAGTTAAGTCAACGAAATATTTATCCTCAAATATCGCTAATATCTATCTATGAGCGACGATAGTTATTCACAACACAGGAAGGCTTTAGACACATTTTCTTGCATACCAATAAAAATAAACCTATAATAATATACCTTGATGATGTGATAAAAATTAGTCGTTTAAAAAAAAAAACAATTGGTTGAATTCTACATGATATTGTCGTAATGATATTTGGAAAGACGATCAATCATAGTTACGAGATAATGTCTAAGGATGAAAGTTTGTATGTTGTGGAGATAAACATATTTTATTGTTAAGTAATGCAAATTTAATAATTTTTAAATTGAATAAATACTTTATTTGTTTAGTTAAATTTGAAATGTTTCCAATATTTCCTAAAATTATCAATCGTCGATGAATACGAAAACTGTGAACTAAACTAAACTAAATTAAACTAAACGTCTGAAGTATTAAAATGAAAATAATAAATGCGAGATTAAGTGAAATTAAATTAAATTACAAGTTCTAATCGCGATGTTCCTCATAAACGTAGTCACACACATAACGGTGATTGGCAATTGTCAACAGAAATTGCCCCTTTAATATTATTGTGATAACAATGTCAACTGCTTTGAAACGTGACAAAGGAGAAGTAACGGTTTCTGGTCAGACAAAATTGATAAATAAGTATTGGATCGTTAATTGAGGCCGTCAGCACAAAAGTGGTCTAACCCACAATTTTCATATTCATGCTTTATATATATTATATGCTATTGCTTTATATTATATTATAACATATATTGCAACTAGCTTTTGCCCGCGACTTCGTCCGCGTGGAATAGTTCACAAAAAATGCTTTATTATAGAACAAATTTGGTTAGCATAAAAAATGTTATAGTTATATATAAACGTTAAAATATAGACATGCTGTCGAGGACTTTTTTTTAGATCTTTTAAAGGGGAACAATTCTGTCATACACTATTTTAGCGAAACTTTAATCGTTTCTACAGCGCATGCAGCGAAAGCTCTCAAAAGGGAAAAAAACCCCGATTTTGAAACATTCTTTATTGGTGCTCCGCTGGTATTGATCTAAGTGTAATGTTATATAGATTATAGCCTTCCTCAATAAATGGGCTATCTAACACTGAAATAATTTTTCAATTCGGACCAGTAGTTTCTGAGATTAGCGCGTTCAAACAAACAAACTCTTCAGCTTTATAATATCAAGTATAGATATATTACAACCAAATAAATGTTGATGCAAAACCGGCTTATCCTATAGTTTCACCCATACATAACAGTTGGCTTTGTAAACATTGTCTTTGTGCGTATTGTTTTTGCCTACGAAGCAGCTTAAAAATAAAGTCAAGTCTCATTATCTCCATATTAACTATACCGTAACCGTAGGACACTTTTGCGCTGACGGCCTGAACTGATGGCGAGGAAAATACTATCGTATTTATTATCGGCATAATGTCGCTTTTTCAGTTGCATTAGAAAACATGACGGAAGAAGTAGACAAGACGGTAATACAGATCCTTGCCGATCTAAAACATGTCCTGCTCACGGCTCACTTGGTGTTAAGTGGTTATCGTAGTCAATAGACTAGATTAACAATGTAAATGCCTTTTCCCCCCTACCTGAAACCTCTAGGGGTTGTCCTAGCTTCACCTAATATCGGTAAATGCCGTCATCTACCTTTAGAAATGAATTCTGAGTTTCAGTTTTAGAGTACATCGTCTACCCCGCCCTTAAAACAAACAAATTATAATTTTTGCGGGCTTACACGATGTGATTCCTTCATCGTGAAAATTTGATACTTACCAGCGGGATTCAAACGTCAGTATAGTCGTATCGCTCAATACTAATGGACCGGGCATCTTATTCTTTAGGCCACGAAGGCTTTCAAAGTTGCGGAATTCTAAAATTGACGTAAAAATCATGATTCTTCAGTTAAATAATTATTTTTTAATGATAATGAAGGACTTGATAAAAATACCTATACAGCAGAAACCGTGTGTTTCAGGATAACAGATCGTTACTACTATATTATTTAAGCAATTCTCTATCTGCATATTAAAAACAAACACAAGATTGAGAAAGCAAACGCATGGACGGACAAAAAAATGCAGGTTTTGAGTTTAGTGACGTTGAAAAGACATTGTAACTACAAATTAAAAAATTACTGACATATCGATAAAGATGTTTTTTATACATTAAATTTTTCATATTTTAAATGTGTTTGTTTTCAGATAATATCCGGTTTGATGGTAGTGATGGGAATATCAGTCTACTCTCACTACCATAGTTTTTCGTTTTTCTACGAAAGCGCCAAGACTGGAAGGTTCTTAACTCCATCAGTGCTGTGCATTTTCTTGGGTCTTGCAATGTTCATAGTTTCCTTCTTTGGATTCTTCGGTAGTTTGAAACAGAGTACTTGCATGGTTAACTTGGTGAGTTGGAAATAATCAAATATGTGTCTAATTTAATTCTAGACTTTATATGAAAGGAAAAAAAAAACATTGAAAATCTAATTTTTTATTAAAGCCCATAATGTCACCTGATGTCATGCCGTTGTCAAAGCTCATAGCAATGTAACGCCGTGACCCACCTTGAGGTCGCAGTCTCAATTGTAACATACAACGACTGTCCCACCCTTCAAGCTGGAACTATGGCTGCTCCGTGGCAACAATAGGACACAACCTTGGTCCCGTAATACTGATGCGACATTATATTGTAATTACAACGAACGGTAGTTTTCTTTGAAATTGAGTTTTATCATATTATTTTTTATATCTCAACCTCAGGTCATAGAAAATGTGTATTTGATTTTAATAAATTAAAGTAGACGCTTAAGGGAAGGTCATTTTCAAAGGTTTTTCCTGAATACGTTATCGAAATGAGAAGATTGTGTGTGCGTTTCATTGAAACTGATAAACCACATTTCATTGTACGCTACTAGGTCATACATATTTTCTAAATAAATATAAAAAACAAACGCGTTCATAATCGTGTTGTCGGAATTTATTTTTACACCACCTTAGGTTAGTGTGAAATGTGAATGAAGTTTTTGTTTTGTGCATAAAGTGTGAAATAAATAAAAGATGGAATCGACGGTTGAAAGGCAAACGTGACTAAGCAACAATGCGTGAACTTTACAGTAAACTAATTTAAAGTTGAAATACCTGAAAACAAAATTCATTTTAACGAATCTAGCTGTAGTAGAATCTAGCTAGTAGCTGTAGGATTGAAATGATTTTAATAGACCTAGAAATATATATTTTTTGCGCATCGAATATGTTTATTGCCTGTCATTTATGTACAAAGCAGTTATTGTTGCTTAGTCACGTTTGCCTTTCAAGCGTCGGAATATTTTTTTTTTTGTTGATATGAAGGTATCTGCGATCACAAATACTTTTCTTAATCGAATTAGGTTACCTAATTCTTGAACGTGCTTATATATATTGATTATGTAGTTTTTATTGTTATTTTCGCTTACTGTTTAGACCCTATACTTTTTAACACTATCCAATTTATTAGTAGAGCGTTTTCTGAGCCTGAATACATAGATACCACCACCACTAGGCCCAGTTCTGCCGCAAAGCAGTAAGACGTTCCGGTTTGAAAGGTAGCACTTATGTCTTATAATATACCATAAAGACTTTAATCTCATGTCTATAAGTAGATGATGGCATTCACATTTTGATATCTATGGGCTCCGGTAACTTAATACAGGGTTGGCCGTAAGCTTATTCATCGTACTAGCCAATAAATAAATCAAAATCTGATTTCTGTCACACATTCTGAAATCTGAATGTTCTGTTATAACTGTCCCACCCGTAACTGCTTTGGCGACAGAAGTAAGTATGTATTAGTAATTACGCATATGTATTATTATCGTGATATGTGCTCGAATATCTGGTATATGTTATACGTGCCCACGTATCAACCAGACATTGTCCATGGTTGAAGAAAATGATTTCCAATAAGCTTTTCATAGAGTGATAATAAAAAAAGTTTATTATGCTGGATTTATTTTATTACAGTACGCTTTCGTTCTCGCTTTGATCCTGCTAATAAAACTGACCATTGTGATTCTCGCTTTCACGATGGACTCGAATCTAATCATGAAGTACGTGGACATCCCGGTGTGGGACTACGTAAACGATCCCGAGATTAGTGACGAAATTGACAGCCTACAGACTTCGGTAAGTCGAGAGTACTAGACTAAATCAGCTACTTAGTATATAATAAGTACGTATTAGTTGATACTGAAACGCGAATTCCGTCATTTATGTTCTTTTTTTTTAGATGGGTGGACGAGCTCACAGCCCACCTGGTGTTAAGTGGTTATTGGAGCCCATAAACATCTACAACGTAAATGCGCCACCCACCTGAAGATATAAGTTCTAAAGTCTCAAGCATAGTTACGTAGTTAAGTATAGTTCACTATCAGTCTTAATAATTGTATTCTAATAAAAACCGTATTTCCGAGCTTAGTATTCAATAAAAAAACCGTGATTTTCTACATACGTTAAAATGTTTACATTAGCTTTTTTAATAGCAATTTAGGTCTTATATTATTTATTATTATTTAATGGCATGGTATTTTGTATCGAATACCATGCAAAGTTTTTAAATCAGAGCGATTTTTCACATTTTACTCGAGATTTATTTATTAATAATAATAAAAAACAAAAAGCCTCAATATTAAATTAATAAATGTCGTATTTTAAAGCTCGGCTGCTGCGGAAGCAATTCCTATATGGACTATGTGGGAATGGAATTCACAGAGAAACACTCTACTGTCGTTGTGTCTAAAGAGGTTGACGGGGATCTAGTTACGTTGGTGATCCCCAGTAGTTGCTGCGTCAGCAACGGCGATGCTTTCTGCACGAGGATGTACTCGACCAGTTGCAAAACTGCATTGGTCAATTTATTGGCGCAAAATGCAATCGTGATCGGTGTACTTGGCGTCTCGGTGATGTTTATTCAGGTAAGGCCACTTTCAATTTAGAACCTTAGTCATTCTAAACTCACTATTAAAAAAAAAGGTCTCAATTAAGAAAGCTTCTATTGATCAAAATTTCAAAAAGGTTTTTTTTCCAGAAATATTCCACTCAGTAAAATAATAGCCTAAATATTAATTATAGTTATATTCTTCATTATTTAGTACGATGCTTCAGATTTTCAAATCGAATGGTCGGAACTAATAACACTACTACTCAATATGTTTTATTATAGTATGTAATAAAGTATATTATTAAAGGTGGTTAGAAAACAATATTGTCATATTGAAATATTTTACAAAGTTGCAATACTCGTTTTTCTGTACATTATCTACCTTAGAACTTGAACTTTGCAACCCACTTTTCTGCGCAATTTAAAAGGAATCTTCAAGAAGATCGTTACTGTGTTTAACATTTTTTTCCTAATCGTTGGTAATATAAGAGGCTATTCCAACTACGCGCGAGCCGGAAGGTAGGCTCAACCTGAGAGTGTTGCTAACATTGACCCTAGCAAGAGCAGTGCGTCGCTAAATCTACTACCGGACCGAAATCGCCACCGATTGAGATAATCCGTCAAGACACTCAGTGGGTGTAACCGTTTTTATATAAGATGCTAAGGACCGGTGATAAAGCTCAATGCAAAATTTATGCGGGCGTCGCTAGTTCATTGTCAAAGCGGTAAGTAAACTATTATAAAAAAATCCTAAATGTTTTCAGTTACTGGGCATCGTATTCGCTCTACTTTTGGCACGTTGCATTCGTAAAATGAAAAGCGAGAGGGCGCTGATGGCTTGGAAAATTCGAGAACAAATGATAATGGCGCGAGCGGCAGAAGAATCAGCGAAAGATAATACATTAAACATCGGACACAATGAAATTAGTGTAGCATAAATATATTATTGATGTTACGCTGTGGAATTATTGAAGTTAGATGTTATTTAAGATTATTCTGTTCATCACTAATTACGTAGGTATATACCTACCTATCTATCGTACATATATCGCAGTGCAAAGTACCTATTGATCTAAAGACAATATTATGATGATAATATTATTTGCTTTGTCATTTGTGTTATTAAATTGAGATCATACCTTGATCTGATCTAAAGAGAACATTTTAAAACAGAACTGAACTTACTTAACTGGAGTCGGTTTCTATAAAATATTTTTAAATTGATAAATCGACAGTAAATTTTATTGATGACATAAAAATGTTACGAATATGTCAAGTCAATTAAATAAATAGCACACATTAAAGCATGAACATGAACATTTTTATCGTAGATTTATCAAAAATGATAATGTTACCTAGCACTAATAAATTATTTTGTTGATAATTTTAAAGCAGTTTAATTATTATTTTTTCAATTGAACAAGTTTTTTTTAATGAATATTTCCGTATTATTGATTTCGAACGTTTATTTCTTATTTCACTGCAGTACGTATTTTTACTATCGTACTTTGATTTCTTATGACGACAAAACTAGGCTATTTTAATATAACGCAACTAAGAATAAGATAAGAAGAAGATACGAAAAGACTAGGCCCTAGCAAGAGCAGTGCTTCGCTGAATCTACTACCAGATCGGAAACGCGATCCATTGAGAAGATCCGGCGAGAAACTCAGTGGGCTGTGTCTATGGGTTAACACGCCAAGACCTACATCGCAAGCGATGGGTTCAACGGTGACCGATGCTTGAGGTACCTAAAAGCACCGTTAATGGATAGGGAGAATCGTAATGACGTGTTTAGGGCGACGTCAACTGTATCATTCGGTCTATAGGATCGGGTATGTAATTTCCGGCGGCCACGACTAAGCTTTTTGTGTCGTGCCGCCTTCTCAAAGTGGCGCATTTATGCTGACCGTATACTTTCTGATTGAGTCAAGCTTCAGGTCATCATGGAGATCCACATTCTTTAAGAGCTACCATAGTCGGAACGCTTGACATAAGTACATCAGGCTTTTCATTCTTTAAGCCTTTGAAAAAGTAGAATGCAGCATTGCTTCGCAACAGAAATAGGTAAGGTTTTATAGGACGTCTGTCGATCTCGAGATCTATGAACTATCTATTTATTGGAACGTGAACCGCAATAAAATACCCTTATATTTACCATCTGCATTCTGCATTTTCTGTTACAATCAGTTACGAATGTAAGACAATACACTAGACTTATAAACTTATCTTCAGTAAATCGTTATCATTTTAACACGAAAAACAAAACTAAGTTATGACTCAGCTATGTACCTAATCCTATATCATAGGTAATATCAGTTTATCAGAATTTACGTATGTAAATATTTCAAGGTATAATAACCTATTCCTTTCTGTTGGTTTGTTTTATTGCGCATTAACTCTCATATTATAGTATCTATTGAACAAAATAAACGATCGTTCTTAGGTTTATTTCTATTAAATTAGACGAAGCTTGTCTGGTTTGAGCCCCATGAGCTCACCTACTTGTTGGGGTCACGCTGAAATGACCTCTCAAGGCTAGGTAGGCAAAAAAAAACCGCTTTGGAATGAGCTCCCTCTACGGTGATTCCCGAGCGCTATGACATGTCCTTCTTCAAACTAGATTTATAGAGAGTATTAAACGGTAGGTATCAGCTTGGCTCTGCGCTTGGCATTACTGAAGTCCATGAGCGCCGGTAACCACACATGGTCAAAGCAGGGCAATAAAAAAAAACTTTGCACTCGAGACGTGAGTATCGCTCACTGCATGATTTAATTACAAAGGACAAAAATAACGATAAGCAAGACGTCAAACATCCAATAAAGGAACATAAATACTTTACACAGTATATCGAATTTCCGAAGACTCACCTCTGGAGTGCAGAGATTTTTAGAAGATTTTTATAAATGGTTTGTTTGTATGTAAAAAAGGATTTTCCAATTATTATTAAATTTAATAAAAATAAGAAGCCTTTAGTCATGAATGTATCTTCTGCGTAAAAAGGCCACGTTAGGTAATACCATAATTAAAGGAAAACTATAATATAATAGTTGCTCAAAGCATTTAGACCTATTGCAAATAAAATCATGCTAATTTAATAATTGTTTAGTTTCAATTAATAAAATTGATATACCTAGCAGTGAACGTGAGATTATAGGGAGTGCAAAACCAGGATCTAATTTACTCATCCTTTGTTAGTCTTACATTTGTTTATTTATATCGAATATTTATACTACAAATAAAATTTATTTAAAATTATTACCTAACAAATCACAACAAAAAACGCAATCAGTTATATTATATACCATTTAATATATCACACTTTTCATTTAAGTTAACATTTATTTGGTATTTTTCAGTATGATCCCAAAACATTTTGCCTTTCCTTCGTATTTCTTTACCGAGTTCCTGATGTTCTCCATTCATGTATGGAGGAGTAAACTCTCTATATGCAATACATACTCTCCTTGCTGAAATATCTTGTCTGAGTACACAATGCTCCCAGTGATATCTCGATTCTCCATATAGCACTAGTAATGAGCGTCTGAAATATTAAAGAATATTCATTTGTAATTTTTTGTCTTTCAAACATGCGTCTTATGTGTAAAAATGCATGACAAATAGTGTATATGACTCATTATGTATACAAAAGCATGACTGTAACAATAGATTAGTGGGCAACAATAGCATTGCGTCATCTCTTCCTGTGGGTAGCATAAAAGGTGACCAGAGGATTGATTAGAGAGAGCAAGAATATTATCTGAGTATTATACTGGTATACTAATATTTACTGGTGGTAATATAATAAGACCACACAGGCAGATATCACCATCCTACCATTTTCTACCCTGAATTTTTTTGCTTTTAAGGGTGGGGAGAATCTTCATGAAGATGACAGCATTCACATTGAGGTCTGGTAACTAATTAACATCAGATGGACAAGAAGCTTTTTAACGAGTAACTAGGCAATGAAAAAATAGCTATTAATTATGTAACGCAGTTCTAGATAAGTGGACAAGATATCATTTTAAAACATTTAGTTTTGACGATTCATTCATCATTTAATAAACACTTTCTTTTGTAAATCTTCTTTGAATTATATATGACTCAGACATAGGTCATATGCAGCAACCATTACTACTTGACTGTACATTTATATCAAGACAATTGATTCACTTGTAATTTTAGACGTAAAACATTGCAAATACATAACCTTCATAAAGAGCTTCTAATTGAGAATGATACCAAACAATATTTACCTTGGCATTGGTATTCTGACAATCACATCCACATCAGTCACAGGTTTACATATATCTAAAGAGGATCTTTGGTTCTTATTATTTCTGATAATTTTTCCTTCTAAATCCAACACTGGAAGGTAATTTTCAGCAGAGCATAAATTGTATTTGGTTTTCGCTCCTTTGAAACGCGTCATTGTGAGGACTGAGTCAGACAGAAAGTTAACAGTGACGATTCTCTCACCCCACACCCAGCAGTCGTCGATATGTGGGTCTATTGATGCACCTTTAGTGGGATCATACTCCAATGAACACTGTTCTATTACTTCAAAACCGTCCAACATTTCGATGGTCGCAAATCTGTCTTGTAGCATTTTCGAAAACTTTGGAAAACCCTCGAAATTTCCGGAAACGATTTTTTTCTTTTTGAAGTTGACTTTGGGTCCATAGTTCTGTTTCCTTCTGCCACTCTGTGAGTTATCCCAAGGTATTTCGTCTATGTTATCGATTAAGATTTGCTCTTCCAGCTCGCTTATAAAGTCCAAGTGAATATAGACGCCGCGATAACTCAACGGTTCCCCGTGATGGTTCGGATGTTCTTTGTAAGAATTGATGTCCCATCCTTTCCAGGCTTTGTTGCAATACGGACAGTAGACGTAACTTTTTTCTTTGTCTAGTTCCAACTGCAATTTCAGGTCTGCAGCACCGTATTGTGTTTCACAGATCAAACACGTCCTACAACCTTTGCAGCCGCAAGGTCTCGGTTTCATTCTGGATTACTCAATGCTGCACAATTGAATTACGTGAATATGATACTAAATACACTGGGGTACTTTATATGCGTGAACTAATATATAATGCTATATGAATAATAAATTAAATAATATTGAAACATGTTGTGAAATCAGCGTTCTTACCATTGTCTTTTTTTTATCTATTCGTAATTCGTAGTGTACCGTTTTTTAGCTCACATCATTGTCAAGAATGTCAAGTGTCAACACTCAACAGTATCGGCATTTTTTTGTTAAAGTTGTGCAATTGTATAGGCAAAGAAAAGATAGATCATACAGCTTAATATTTTGTAGCAAAAGACAAAGACAAAAATAAATCAAAATGAAATTGTATCAGTTACTAGGCTTAGCAGTACCATAAACTCCACTAACCAATTTTCTTTTAATATCTCTCGAAGTGAAAATGATACTGTAAAAATAAAAAACACATTTCTGCAGTATTTACTACATATACAAAACATTTACGTTGTAGATGTCTATGGGCTCCAGTAACCACTTAACACCTAGTGGGTCATGAGCTCGCCCACCCGTCATAGGAATAAAAAAGCCTTATCACTGATAATTATGCAAATTCTAATATTTTCCGGCTTAATTTATAAGACTTATCCTTCATCGTGGAAGTCACATGAACATGAATTATGAAAAGAACACTTCAGAATATAGGGATACACTAACTCTGATTCAACTCATGTACCTAAAAGATAATCTTTCAAAAATAAAAATACTGCACTTCTTTGTTTATTATTTATTCATTCACAAGTTACACTCGTAAAGTAATTATTTATTCTTTTTTTCCCAATTCAAAATAAATTGAGAGTACAACAATGTTATGTATCTATTGTTTTTCGTTGACAAAAACATTTCATTTGTAGTTTTAGATAGTTGTTTTAAAATGCACAGTATCTAACATCACATTGCGCGTTAGATAAGTATATAACGAATAAAAATTATTTATGAAAAATCTTAATGTGACATGATGTAAATCTGAGCAACGAAATCAACTTCTACCTTAGTAGATTTCGTTTATTTAGAATTATTTTTCTTTTCATGCAGCGGTTTGTAGACTCCCATAATTTCCTTTCAACACATCACATTTTTTCCCTAATCTATCAATTGTAGAATAATATAAGTGTTTTATATGAATAATGTAAATTTACATTATATTATGAAACGCACCCTTCCCGAATAGTCCAATCGTTCTTCAAGTAAGGTACAAAAAGAAGGAAATGACTTTATTTAACTGTACATTCTGACAATACTGTACGTATTAACGACAATTTAAAGTTTTAATTTTGATAATGCAAACTTCATCAATATACATCATGCAGTTCTAAGAATTGCATTCCCCAATTAGTCTATTGTTCATTAAATTAAATATCAAATATATTATGAATGTTTTTTCACTATCGTAAATATTCCATTGTGATACTTTCGTGTTGTAGATTTGTGGTTCCTATGTTCGAGTTAAAGGGGCATATTAAAAGATTTGGATGGGCTGTGTGAAAGAAGATATGCGAGAGAAGGGTGTGAGTGCAGATATGCCGTATGAAAGGCCTGGATAGATAAAAGACATGCTGTGCCGACTCTCAGAGTCAGATGAGAGCAAGAAGAAGTTGCATACAAACATCGAAAGGTATTATTTAAATTTAATTTAAATTATTAATGTCCTATTTATATTTTGTGGGCTCTTAGAAGTCAAAAAAAAGAGTACCTATAACAATATAAATCGGAAGTAAGGGACGAATTTCATTTAATTTATCATAATATTAAACATTACTTTCGAACAAAAAATTGCAGTTTCAATTTAAAACGCAATCCAGTTCTTTAGGAGAAAAATACTATAAGGTTATAGTATATGGAAGATATATAATAAGGAGCCATATTTCCTGTACCTTTGTGCAAGTTATAAAATACCTATATATCTCCACCATCCATGCATAATAATTTAAGAATTTAATGAAATGTATATTATAGCAAAAATCTTGAGTAATAATTACCCGATTCTAATTGTTTTATAAATCTTAATCTCTCCCGTGATAGAGCAAAAGTCATGGGAGCGGTTTTTTATAGAATTAGATTAAAGATTAGGGGCATCAAAGATCCTCAACAGTCAAGGTATCGGGCGGCTCATTGGCTCGGTCCCTCAAAATAATGTAAGATAAGGAGTATGTAATAGGGACTAGTTTTTCAAGATGGCTAATTTTAAGGGCGGCAAAATTTGGGAGGTGACTAATAAAACCTTTTTCCTTTATTAGAAAAGCTTCAAGAAAGGTGATTGCAATGGGAATATTAATAAATATTCCAAATTCAATAAATTTCACATTACCTTAAGCGCGAACCACTATTTGCATTAAACTCTTGCTCTATTAGCACTATCCATTATTTTTCCATTGACAGTAATCTAATCGTGAATAGAAAAATTTACGACCGAAGCACTGATTTTTTAAAAGCAGTAGTAGTATTTCACTTATTTACCAAATTAGCTGTGACAAACTGCACAGTCGAAAGTTAATTTTCATGTCTAATAAGTTAAAAAAAAAACTTACTTTCTATGATAAGGGAAAACGGGATGAATAATCGATTCAGTTTTGCTTAGTTGATCTAAATGAAGAACTAATTGATCTATTTGTAAATCAAATTGTTTTCCATATACATAATTAATGTTCTTGGTGTGAGAACCTAGTTCATAATGATGATAAAAGTGCTCAATCTATACAGGATATGAGTAGAGAGTAAGAGCGGGACTTATATAGGTTGCCCATTGTGCCACACAAGTCTGACCCTAGATAGATTAGATTTTTAATACATTAAATTCAATACATTTAAATTCAATACATTTAAATTCAATACATTTATTTGTATATATTTTACATAATGCTGTACCTACTTATATAGTGTTTATTTCGATGTAGTTTTTAGAGAAATGATATGCTTAACCGATAATCGATAACGTTTAAAATTCATTAAGGCTGTTAAAATCTAAGCCACTACGATTACCTAAACTTTTATATGCAATTTAAAAATGGCAGTGTATACGTGTATCACCTACAAATTTAAAAGTTAAAACTTACTTTATGTAAAGGTAAAACATACCTTAGAAGTCCTAAAACATTTTTCTCAATTTAAACCAATGTGCCATAAACGTTACCAGACTTAAAAAATCGTCATTCAAATGCACATTAGTAAGACATTATAGATTTAATAATTAAATCTCTTTTATATTTTTCTTATTACAAAGAGTTTTTATTTGTTTTATCGTATTTCAATTTCGTATTCCGTTCTATAAAGCTGTGAAACATATTCTTCTAATATAATATTCATATTATAAAGAATCGTTAGTCAAAATCAAACCGCGCTTCGCGGTTGCTATGGATGTTTGGCATTATAATAATTTATACCAAAATCTTGGTTCACGAATGATAACAAGTCTGAAAATTAGTTAAATTGAGAAAGGTAACTTCATATTATACTTTCTGTTTTGTTGCATTCTTTTTAAAAAAAAACGACAATGATCAAAGATGTTTCTCTTTGAACATTGTCGTTTTTTTTCGTCGATGAGAATACAGTAATAATTTTATCTAGTGAATAGAAAATATAACAAAAATTAAATTTGTAGTACTACTACTTCAGTTACTTAATTTCCAAAATTTTATTAATCTCGTTGGAATCGGTATGAAATAGATCCGTTTGCTCCAACGCATATTATTTGATTGATGAAAACAATACTCTACAACTATGACTATAATAAGTGTATAATCTATGAATATGACTCTAACCAAAATGGCGGTAAAACTAAAAAACAATACATACCGGTTCCGCGTACGTATAAACGTAAATCTGTGTATATTATAAATACCATTTTTACGGTTTCATCACGCGTTGTTATTTTTATTATATTACTTCCGACGTTCCTCATACTTTACAGATTTCGTGGTCACGGATGGCAATATCATTAATATTGACAATTCGTGGGCATTATTCATCAATCTACTTATGACTCTCGAGAGCGTAAAACATCAAAATGCGCAACAAGACGCTTCGGAATTGACTCAACTCACATACTTTATCATTTTCCCAATCTCAACAACATATAAGATTTTCGAAGTTTCTTAATTTATCTTGGGTCTGACAACATTATTTTGTTTCAAATGTATCATTACAATTCAAAATATTTCGAAATAGTTACATGTTTACTGTCACTAATTGATCAGGTATAAAAGATAAAATTACTTGCTATTACAGAACCAATCATTAGTCGTCTACATACTTTTAATATATATAATCTTAATTAAACTAAAAATACTGCTATAGTACGCTACCAGTAGCGTAAGACCACATCGTCTATTTTGTTATTCTGTAATAACAATGAATAGTTAATTTCAGGCAATTTACGAGAAAAACATTGGGCACGTTCTTATATTTTTGATTTTCGTTCGTTTTTTTGTGACTTAAATCGTTGTATGTAACTTAAAATCACTTTATTAGTACCTACTATGAATTGCGTAAGTACCTACATACATTTTTCTAAATATACCTAGTTAAGGTTTGGAGAAATATTTTACAATATTAACGCACACTTTGCATATTTATTTTGATAAATATTGAAAAGTTCAAAAAAATTCTCCTTTGTATATACTTTAAACAAAAATCCTTCCTTTTCCTTTTCTTAATTCTTATTAAGTCTAAAATATGAAAAAACGTTATTACTTGCTATTATATATTATACAATTATATAATGTACGCCGTAATCGAAAGCATGTTCTATATTTCCATTTGAAAATAAAATTTCAAGAGTAATAGGTAAGTAATATTTCGCAAAGACCTTCAATTTGTCTAAAGTATCTATAATACAACAAAATACGTTATTCCGAACTAGCTTGTAAGGACATAACAGATCCTATAAAGAATGCTCCCTGCAGTTTGTGAAACTCACGGAGAGTTTCTACATTTAAAAAGTCGCTATCTTGGTCTCGCTCTTATCTTCAATGAAAGATATCCGTTTGTAATTACTTTCTGAAGAGTAATCCTTCAGTATGTAACAAATTTCGAGAGTTATTTTATATTGGACATAATAGATAGTAGTGTATAGCGCTATTAGAAACTAATTTATAAATTATATTTCGCATTCACTATTACAATAAAACCGAAATAGATATCAGAAAAAGTCACTAATAGAGTATTAAAGTAAGAATGTCGGTGTAAAACGTTGAACAATACTTGAACATTTGTTTGTTAGATTGGCTATCTTACATTTCTGTGATCAGCGTCAGTATGGAAATGAGATAGAGCGGCGTTACACGCTCTGGTACCGAGAGAACTCCCTCGGAAAAAAGGACTCGTCGCGATAATGTCGTAAACGCGATTACGGAGTCATAATTTTTTCGTATTGATTGATCGATATGACTCCTCGTTGGAAAAGTGAGTAAAGAGAATCCCACAGGTCAATACCCCGATCCCAGTGCTGCACAAAAACGAATCGGAATAACCAGAATGTCAAATTCTTGGTTTCCGGTAAAAGTAAGTAATGTCAAAGTCTTTTGACAAAACTTCAATCCAGTTCGTCAAAGTCGAGGACCCTGAACGTCGTGAGGAGAGCAGGTGGCGGGGGTGAGGGTGTGGGGGGCGCGACGACGACAGCGGGGGGTTGGCGCCCCGCCGCCTCGTGCTATTCCTCCACCAGCTCCCACAGCATGAGAGCGGCGTCGTGACCTCCGGCGCTGATCACGCAGCGGTCGTTGAATAAGAACCTCGCGTTGTGGATGGCGCCACTATATACTTTCACCTCGTTGTATTCAGCCTTAGGGCTGGCGCATGGGTACCTAGAAACGAGTAGTTCATGTAACATGTTACAATTAAAATTCAACTTATAATTAATTTTTATTTTTCATTAAGTGCTTATAGACAATCGCCACGTGAATCTCGCTACCTATTATGAACATATCATATCACTTATTATTGCTTCGCGCCAGCAACAGACCGGGTTGTGGTACCATCTGGTGCGATCTCACAGGAAGACTTACCAGAAGTAATTAGGCTAAATTTATCAGCGATTTTAACCCCTAGTTTTCGGAGTTTTTTTTTCTAAATTTGAATATTTCAGTTAATCATTTCACAATACCTCATATTTGACTATTGTGTGATTATCAAATAAAATATTACTGGTTCTTAAGTTTCTTATAACGCACGTTGAAAAATTAAATTGATTGAACTAATTCAGTAGTAAAACTTCCAAAATTTCTAGTATATTTGCCGATGTTAAATCGACATACAACGCATCATCTATTTTTTTTGCCCTTGTGTTACAACAGTATATAGATCTCTCGTGAATGCCGTTATGGACTCTTCTTCTTTCTTCTTTTTCTCCACCTTATTCCACTAGGTGGAGTCGGTACAACGAATTTTTCCATTCCATTCTCTTCTATCAGCCGCCATCTCAGCACTCACTCGTCTCTCTCTCTCTCTCATATCGTCATTCACACCATTCCATACATCTTCTAGTCTCCTAGCCGTTATAGACGTGAATTTAAAATCACATTGTCAATCATGAAATAATATAATTGAATTTAAAAAATCTATAACTCGGGAAATTTTAATCACCTGAACAGTCGTAGGTATCCATCGTAGTCACCGCTGATCAGAAGATCGTGGGCCGCCGAGCGACTCGATGACGAAATCAAGGATGTCATTGGGTAGAAGCGATTGTTCCACATACCTGAAATTATTTCATTAGTTCAGGGTCATTGTACCTATTCGAGAAGGCTTAAGATACGCCGTCCTATTTATATTTAAATTTAAAGGGATTCACTTATTTATTAAAAGTGTCATTAATTCATCCTTACTTTTTCATCATTAATCAGAATAGTTGTTTGTGAATGCATAATACTTACTTTCATTGAAAAATTCGAGTATACTGCGCGTGCTATCTTTCAGGCCACGACTGTCGAAACTAAAGATCTTTCAAGGAGCTTGCAAGAATTTTATGTAGTAGAATTGGATGAAATCAAAAGAAGTAATATAGTATTTGAAAGGGCTCTAACAAGATTTAATACATACCCGAGACAAGGAATCCGACAGTTGAGTTAAACGTGGACCACTTGACATCTTTCATGCCTATCGGGCTTTTCTCTGGAGATAGCGATTTTATATCCCCTGAAACATTTTTTTAAGGATCTTTATTTGGAAACATTCTTACCGATTCTGTGAATTCAGAAACTAGCCAGTTGAACCCGTGGAAGGAGTTACCTACACGGAAGTTTATTTTTCATTACTTACCTATTTGGACTGTAGCTGTAATCATTTGGAAGTTGGTATAGGCGAAGCGACCAAGTGTCTAAACAATACGTAATCTAGAAAAGGTTTAGTCGGGTTCTTTATGAAACTCAGAAATAAGACATGAGATGGGTTGCAAATGTTCATTACCGTAATAACGATATTACCACGATTAAAACAGTTTTTTTTATTTACATTACATGCAGGAAAACATAGAGCCCACCTGGTGGTATGTAGTCATCATCGCTCGTGAACAGAAACCGCTGCCCACTGTAACTATTTAGTTCGATATACTTAACTACTACTACTACTACTAATGTAGCAATAAATAAATATTTAAGTTTTTTTTCTAAAATTCATGTTAAGATTAAAATATATCAACAGAAGCTCAGACATCTGTTTTTAAAGCTGTAGTACATAATTTTTTTTAAATCTCGGTATGCAACGGCTTTACTCTGTCCCTGGCATTGCTGATGTCCATGAGCGACGGTGACCACTTACCATCAGGCGGGCCGTAAGCTCGTCTTATGCCTACAAAGGCAATTAAAAAAAAACAGGATTTTTTTAACGCGATTTAGAAAATGTCGACCATCGTACTACGTTTGTTTAGATTTCATCAGTATTTCGCAAAGCGAATTGTTAACGTAATTCTCAAAACCTGGGATCTGTTGAATTGATTTGTAGTTATCAAGGTACGAATTGAGACCGGGAATCCCCCGGGGCGGTGTTGCAAGCTCGTAAAAAATGTATATTATCGAACGCCATGTAACCAATAAGACTATGTGTTTGTGTATCATCAACACGGGTGAGCTCCATCTTCAATCTTGTTTGAAGTTGAGCTGTAAAAAGACAACGTGCAACTCACAGAAAGCCAAATCGTAATCCGCGGTCACAGTCTGCAAGAAGTTTCCGTCGAGACTCCAGTCCAACTGCATCAGAGGTTGAGCGCCTCGGATCTTATTCGACTTCTTGTAAGAGAAGCCGTCTCGAGACACCCTGAATAGGTAGATACTGCCGTTCTGAGATCCAATGGCGAGGAAATCTCCAGCTGCAACGTAATCAAATTTATTTTCGTTTTAATAATAGCAAACACGTTACTAAGAAATCGGTGAATTTAATTAGGAGTTGAAATCGAAGATCAACCATTTCAATTGCTAATGAACTTTCATTTTGCTTCAGCTCATTTAAAAATAACTTAGAAATTCATTTATTAAAACTGTGGAAAATCCGACTTAAATTTTTCAAGGTTATATGCTTGAGTGAGTGTGTGTGTTGACACCGATTGATATCGTACTTCGACTCAATCATGCATTCCAGCTAGGTAGTCTAGTCCTTATCCCAGTGGTATTGAGTATTTTTGTCTATTTAGTGTTTCTTCGGGTTTAAATGTGTAATAACGGTGGCTTATTAACTGCTTAATATCTGTGAAAGTGCACAAATGTGGGAAAATGAAACAAAGCCGCTGGACGTAACTTCCCGGGATCCTCCAAAAAGTCCACTGAAAAAATCTCAGTAAATGACCAACGTTTTACTGAGATTATATTTCATCCCATTTGATTAATGTCTCAAATTGATCATCTTCATTTCGTTTCATACACTCCATATTATTATTTTTCATTAATATAAGAATTCTTCGTATATACTGTGTTACTTATAATATTTTGTATTCAAGTTTAACAATATTTGCTGTGTATATGCATTAATATATAATTCTCATGTTGTATTTGTTCTTTTAGCTGTTCTACACATACTCATCACTTTTAATTATTATTCTCATAATCCTATCGCAGGTCTGCTGGATGAGATTTCTTAAAGAAGTAAGCAGTGCCTTTGTACATAATTTTCCTATTACTTTGTACTATGTCTTCTTTTTTGTAAAAAATAAATTAAAATAAGACATGACTTAAAGGTCTTAGTCACCAGGTCATAAAATCCATTTAAAAAGAAAACCTTACCGGTGTTATATTGCAGGCAATTGAGCGGCGAACCGCAGACTCTGAGTGTTGCGACGTGCGCTCCGGCGTCGGCGTTGAGCACAACCAGGTGACCTTCAGTGCTGCCGGCCGCGAGCGCGCCGCCCCCGGGGTGCCACGCCAGCGACACGCACTCGTATCCCACCTGGACATCATACTCTGGGCATAGAGTCTTATGAATAAAATAACTTTTTACAGGTGGTAGGACCTCTTGTGAGTCCTCGCGGGTAGGTACCACCACCCTGCCTATTTCTGCCGTGAAGCAGGAATGCCTTTCGGTTTGAAGGACAGGGCAGCCGTTGTAACTACATTGTGACCTTAGAACTTATGTCGCAAGATGGGTGGCTTCAGTAACCACTTAACACCAGGTGGGCTGTGAGATCGTCCACCCATTTCAGCAATAAAAAAAAAATCTCATTCAGATTAATAGATAAAATAAATAATTAAATAACTAGGAACAAATCACGCACGATCTTCCGGCCCCAATTTAGGATGTATTATACGCACCAGAGACTGACAATCATATTTTTATTCATTTAAATATAAGGATAATAAACATCCAGACAAAGAGCAAAACGAAACTGCTCATCACACGAATGTTTGCCCGATGTGGGAATCGAACCCACGACCCTCGGCGCAATAGTGAGGGCCGCTAACTACAGCTCCACTGAGACAGTCTAATAATAAATTATTAAATAAAAAATAACAACAATACTGAAATGGCTAAGTTATTTCTGCTAAGTTTCCGACCTGAGTTGCGAAAACAAGCTTATGCCCTTTCCACAGAGCAATGTTCTTGTCGTGACCGGCTGTCGCGAACATCTCGTCGTCAGGGTGTACCGCGACACCCAGCAGCGGCTTGTGGTGTCCGAAGACAATCTGACAAGTAAAAGACAAGATTTGCTTCTTACTATCTATTCCAATACCTTAGCCTCGACTTTCATACGGTAGTACCTACTTGATGGTTGGTGTCGATGCTGAAACCAGTAGAGCTCTATGGGCCGGTCTACATATGTCTATATATTGGGTTTAGGGTCGACCACGAGAGCAAACTTTGTCCCCAAAAATGTAGTAGAGCTATAGCATCAACACATATTGCCTTTCAATGCCTCATTTTCGACACAACCATCTAGCACAAGTCTTGAAATTAACCCTTCTTCAGGGTTTTTTCATGAGCTCTATGACATGTCTTTCTTTATAATCTTTTTTTTAGTGACTTAGTAAGCAGACGAGCTCACGGCCGTCCTGCTGATTAGAAGCAATAAACACTTCAATTTGGCACTTGTCGCTCTTATATCAATTCATTGTGTCTTTTATTTATTTTTGCGCCAATCTTTTGTCGTATTTGAAGAAATAATTGTGTTAAAAAAAAAACCCGTTGTAATATTTACGGATAAAACCATCTTCGATTGTATGTTGTAGATTTTTACGACGGATCGAGGTCTTTGAATATAAAATATTGAAAACTTTGGATATAAAAATTATAAATTTACTTGATTAAATCGCCTCTGTAAAGATCCCTCCATTATATTGTTTCTGGTCGTACCGACGTACAGATTACCATCGTTACGACCGGGCCGCTGTGGGTAGATACTGCGGATCCCACCAGCAGTTTCTGGTAACTGAAATAAAGACAGAAGATCATAGATAGAAGAAGAAGACGATTTAAAAAAGACACCATTGGTATTCATACTGTTTATGTTCGATGGTATACTTTGTTTTATGCCAATATTAATTATAATATAAATTACTATACAATATAGCAATCTCGTATGTCGTATCACTCTTGTCAGAACGGTCGTGGTCGTCATCCAGTATCATTGGTGTGGGCAGATGTTATGCGCCTTACGAGCAATCGTCACTCCTCGCGGTTTGTGATGAGCCTGGTACACTCATGCAAACAGCCGCCAACTGCCGACTTGATCTGGTCGGTCCATCGCACGGCCACCCTTCCATGCGGTCTGGTGCCTTCCATCGTGCCCTGAACGACAAGGCGCTCTATGGAGTCATTTCCTCGCCGGGAGACATGTCCAAAAAATGATAGTACGCCCATGCACGAGCGCCGAAAGACGCTGCTTAATGCCGAGTTCTTGAAGAATGGAGATATTAGTGCGGAGTTCGGTCCATGAAATACCAGGCATTCGTCTCCAGCACCACATCTCCAGAGCATCAACCTTCTTTCTTTCCACTTGCCGCAAAGTCTACGTCTCCGCAGCGTATAAGAATATGGGGAAAACAAGAGTTTGTACGAGCCGGATCTTTGTGGCTTTAGTGCCGCTTCTGTTCCTCTATATCTTCTTCAGACTGTCCATTGCAGTTCTTGTGATCGCCACACGCCGCTTTACTTCATCTACGCAACCGCCATTGTTCGATATCAAGACTCCAAGATATATGTAGGATTGGACGACCTCGCAGTTCGCAATCTGAGTAATGTCTTGCAAGTTGTTATTGGCTCGGTCTACAATCATCATTTTGGTCTTACTGCGATTAAGTCTCAATCCGAACTCTTGACGCGCTCCATTTTGAGATGTAGTTCCTATAGCAATACACACAACAATATACACAACACAATACAATATAAATTATACCAATTGTGTGCTCTCTCACTCGCCCGCCTCTTAAAGCCATTTTAATATGAAATCTCAAGGGCTGCCTTTTTGAAATTATTTTTTTGGATTTAGCACTGCACGTAACGAACAATTAATATAATATTTATTGCTATCTTATATTAGCTTAAATTATTAAAACATATTTTACTTTTTAGTTTTAGTGCAATTTTCGTGGCCACGTACGACCGCCCACGGTCTGTGACCACGAAAACCATACAATATTCAAAACGTAGAAAAAGCGAAAACCGGAGAAGATAATAAACCCACAGTAATTCAAAATAACAGAATGAACAACAATTCATTTTATTATCCCAAAAAAAAAAACAAAAAAGTGTCCTTGCGTAATTCGTTCTGATAATGATTCTCTGGTCTTACCTTCGTCTCAGTAATTCTTTTGTAATTCTGCAAAGAGTCCCAGGCGGCAATTTTTCTGTCCTTCTCGCCTCCAGATATCAATGTCCCCTCAGACAGCATGATGAGGGAACTTATGCCTTTGATGTGAGCCTGTCGTAATCATAATATGGCTGTGTTCAATATGAAATGATTCAATCAAGAAATCGTTTTTGTAATAAAAATCAGATAGATATTAAAATTTGTTCTAGTAATGTATCAGCTATCAAGACAGTTACAGCAATTAAGTGTCAACTTATTTGGTTTGGTGGCAAGCGACATTTTTGCAACTTTACAGGAGAGCCATAAAAGTTAAAAATAAAGGAAAAAATATCGTAACAAAAAAAACGTCTTCGGCTATTTGAATGGGGTAAATTTAATTGAAGTTTAAAAACATCGAATTATTGATTCTAATACCAAATAAAACGCACCTTTAATTACAAAGAAAAGTGTCGCGTATTAGCAAAATGTCGCCTTTAGCTGTCGCTGTCGCTGTTGAAATAGCTTTTCATCCTTCAATATAATATATTGTTTGTTACCTCAAACTCCATTCGCACGAAGTAAGCGCCGTCGCTATCGACGCTGTAAATCGTAATGAACCCATCGCTATCTGCCGTCACCACGTCGCCGTCCTGCTCGAACTGCAAGGCGGTCACATGCGTGCGAGAAGGCTGGAAGACGTTATGTTACTCATATATACCCATATTATAAAAATAAGCTTAAATTCGAATGAAGTTAACAATAGCATCCCTCAAATCGAAGAACCTTTTTAAAATTGTCTTGAAAGACAAAATAATGAAATAACAGGTGAGCAGAATCTCCGATGGAACGAGAAAATGATTAGTTATGAAAACGCATAGTGGATGAATTCAGTGGTTCTGAGTACCATGGATGTATGTAGGTAGGTCCAACCACAAAGAAGGATTGGGACGGTGACCAATATGGGAAATGAGGAAAATATGGGAAATTGTTTCTTTCATGTTCTTGTTATTATATTATTTCCGACGTTCAGATACTTTACAGTTTTCCTGGTCACATTTGTAGTCCGTAACTGTTTTAACTGTGTTTGTGGCTCACGGAAAACCGTCAGAAATGTTTTTTAAATTATATATATTATCTATTACTTCTTCTTATTTTCTTTACTCTTAGCACTATCTTCTTTAGCGTTAAAGAACGGTTTTTGTACATCCAGCGTGTAGAGTATACACATTTACCGGTTTGACGATATCGGTTCTTTCGAAGAATCCATCTTTCCTTCTATTCCAGAACGCGAGATGGCCTTTTCCGTGTGTTATGAGTAAGTTGTCGTCTAAAGGATGAAAAGCAGCGCCGGTTAGCTCTTCTTGCAAAGTCTGCGGATGAATAAGAAATTCAATAAATCGATAATTCTGAAATGTGGTCTCCGATCTTATGAATCAAAGTGGCGCTCCTGTCGTGATCAGTGTGTTAGCACATATATAGAGGTAAATGAGTTAATGGGGCTCTTCATACTGTAGATTCGGGGGAATGGAGACGAGTTAGAATAGGGACAAATCTGGGATGTCACAATACTTTTGTTGAGTTGTTAGATTTAGCTTTGTTGAACTGAAAATGACTTTTATTTAGTGTTTAAGAATATTAAATAGTTTAATTTAGTCATCAAAGTTTTGTAACTCATTAAGTCCTATCGAAAAACTCTATTGCCCCCATACGTAACCGGATTCACCCCAAAGCCAAGGTGAATCGGGTCAAGCTAGTTTTTTCGGTTTTTGTGTATATTTTGTAATGAACTATGTATAATAAACGCATCGTATATAAAAATTTAAGCCTCCGGAACCATTTTAATCTCAGTTGGTATTACCCTAAGAAAAACCATTGAAAATTTGTGTTGGATTTGGAAAGGGTCCCCCCAATCTACGGTAACGTACCAAAATGTCATTTGCAAATACGTTCTAAATTAAATTTTGAATATTTGCTAAGAAAGACATTGTGTAATTTCGAAATTAAAATAGTCACATTTTTGGTAAGCTCTTTTTTAATCTAATAAATGGACAGATGAGCTAACGTTTCATTTGACACTTTCAGATTTGAGGGCCAAGTCTTAATCGTATTGCAGAACGGCTGTTCCACTTTTCAGACCATTACTGCATCAACGCATTACTGCTCCGCAGCGGGAAATCGGTGGTGGTAATATTATAGTTTTGTTAATATTACAAAATTGTTGAACGGAACTATTAATATTAGAGGGAATAATAAAGTGTTGTAGGCAGTACTGTAACACGTCGTAGCCTTTTGCTACGTCGTAGATGCTACTCGTAGTGACGTAGCGAGGACTCATCTTGTGACGTCTTGTGATTTAAGGTAACATGTTGTCTATTATTTATTTACTATCTGCCTATTACTTATGTTTTAAAATAAAGACGTTATGTTTTTGGTTCCTCCTCGCGTCGTTTCCTCACTGCTGAAGGTCGTGACCATTATAATTCGACATGATTTTACTCCTTGTGATGTCCCGCCAGCGCCTCCGATCATTGGCCGCATGAAGTGCATTTTGGTTCAATAGATTGAATAATTAATTAAAATTAAACATGAAAAAAATGCTTCTTGGTTCGTTGGTAAATTAAACTATAGAGAATCTAGGAAGGTTATTGTGAATACATTTAAACTCACAGCAACTTTTCCGAGTAGATGGCCCCACTGCCACTGCCACACGGAGAGTATGCTCTCACGACCAGCATCCACAGCAAGGACGTAACTACCGCCATTCTGAAAAACAGCAATCCGGACAACTGTTCGTATTAATCACACCGTTTTTTTTTATGTTACCTATGCTGATAGCCTTCACCCTAAAGTGTGGGTGAACTAATGGGCTCAAACCAGAAGTTTTCAATAGTGGCCCTATCAAGAGCAGTGCTCCACGGAATCTACCACCGGATCGGAAACGCGAGCCACTGAGAAGATCCGGCGGGAAACTCAGTGGGCTGTCTCTATGGGACCGTCGACATAACTTCATGAGTTTGTAAATTGTTCATACAATACAACTTTCTGACATTTTTTTTCCCTTTGTGCATATATATATAATTTATTTTATTATAAAATTACCTCATCAATTAGACACTAAGCCTCATTTATTACTATCCATATAACGGTAAACTTAAAGAGAATTAGTCACTTAATGACACATACACTCACACACACACACACACACACGTACGTACTATATTCTTACAGATTGTTCTTCCTGGTTAACTTTCTTTACCTGGTGACCTATCACTGAACCACTGACTTTTGTAACACAGGTTTTCCTAGCATAAAAGTCAGGGAATATTGTTATTGTATACCTCATAAAAAAGCCATGTATATTATTATACTAGTGTTAAGAATTTTTGTACGTGTTTGTATTTTAAGAGGCTTGAATAAATATTATTATTAAAAAAAAAAAATATGCGTAATGAAACCCCCAATTATGCAGTGTTAGATTTTCCATTCTTACAAATATTTTGCTGCATAACAATGTGTATATTCTACTCTAAATTGCGTTTATACTTTATTCCAATTACGAAGTCCCAATTGACAGATGTTATTATTATGTTATTGTGTGTGGGAATTAATTGTACAATGATTTATTAGATTGATTGTGTATTTTTTAAATGATATTTACGACTATGAACAAAAAATGATTGTTATTTTTACTGGTGGTAGGATGTCTTATGAGTCCGCACGGGTAGGTATCGTCGCCCTGCTTGTTTCTGCCGTGAAGCAGTAATGCGTTTCGGTTTGAAGGGCGGGGCAGCCGTTGTAACTATACTGAGACCTTAGAATATATCTCAAGGTGGGTGGCGCATTTACATATTATGTCTATGGGATCCAGTAACCATTTAGCACCATGTGGGCTGTGAGCTCGTCCACCCATCTAAGCAATAAAAAAAAAAATAAAAAAAAAATTTCAAATTATGCGAAACGTGAAGAGTTACGTTCTAGGTTGTGTCAAAAGGGACTTCTTAATTGGAATAGAGTATAATTTATGCAATATTGAAACTTAATACGACGCACTAATTGCGAAAATGCCACAGCCGAGACACCGGCTTCGAATTCGGCCATGCCGAACACGTGCAGGGTCTGCAATGTGTCGGTGCTCCAGATGCGGACGTGTGCCTGAGCGCGCCGCCCCCGGCCGGCCCGTTGTCCGCTCGCCACAAGCTCCCGGGACGGATGGAGCTCCATGCTGTAAATTATAGCATCTAATGATATGTCGTTTAAGAACAAAAAAAACACACATACTTAAACAGTAAACCGTTTTCTTTTTCTTTTTTTCCTCCCTATGCTGATAGCCTTGAGAGGCTATTTCAGCTTCTTCTTGACGTGTAGGTGAGCTCACGGGGCTCAAACCGGGAGTGTTGTTAACACTGACCCTAGCAAGAGCAGTGCTTCGCAGAATCTACTACCGTAGAAGATATTAGTCAGTCCGATCTTCCAGAACCGAATAGTAAATGGTATTTTTTTTATTTTTTATTGCATAGATGTGTGGACGAGCTCACAGCCCACCTGGTGTTAAGTGGTTACTGGAGCCCATAGACATCTACAACGTAAATGCGCCACACACCTTGAGATATAAGTTCTAAGGTCTCTGTATAGTTACAACGGCTGCCCCACCCTTCAAACCGAAACGCATTACTGCTTCACGGCAGAAATAGGCAGGGTGGTGGTACCTACCCGTGCGGACTCACAAGAGGTCTTACCACCAGTACCAATTACAACTAAGATTAACTTTACATCGGTTGAACAAGGGCTACAATTTTATAGCAGTAGATGGACGTGCTATCTTTCTTTGTCGTATCACTCTTGTCAGAGCGGTCGTGGTCGTCATTCGGTATCATTGCTGTGGGCAGACTTTATGTGCTTCACGAGCAATCGCCACTTCTCCCGGTTCCCTTCTCTTCAACCGGGAGGAGAGCTATCTTAAGGACCTCGAAAAGAGGTCTTCTAAAAAAGGCTGATAAATAACTGAAATTGAAGTAAAAGCAAAGTTCCTTCTGTCGACTCTTACCATTGTATATCCTCAGTGTGGCCGGTGTAATGTCTTTGAGACTCCTCATCTCTGTCGTACATGACGGCCACAGCCGCCACGTAGTACAGCAGTTCTCCAGTCGGCAACACCCATAAGTTTCGACGGGAATCAAACCCTCGATACCCATATCTGACAAAACATATGTTCAAATACATCGGTAGGTTTTGCATATACATTATCTAATCCGGAATCGGGTAGGTCTTACTTTTCAAAATCGCCACTTACACATTGTGTTTGACGTCATTTGGGGCCAAATGAATGTTAAGCTAAATGATTTACCTGAATACAAAGATTATTCAAATAGGACATCATATTTGGTATGTATTTATTCTAAAAATGTATTAAAAATCATCAAACTAGTGGTCTTCGGATTGTTTTCTTTAAAAGAAGATCCATTATCTTCGTTTTACTTGATTTTTAGTACCCAATCGTCTATAATTACTATTATTTGTTTACTCTAGATCACTACTTTCAAAATATTATTCCTATTATATCTTTCAATATCTGGAGGCTATTATGAGTCTTGAATCTTAGAAGATATTATTACACTTACACCCAATCTAGTTGTAATTTCTTGTCGGGCGGAGAGTTGTCGAGAGGCGCATGATGTATGGGCGGGTAGAATGTCCTTCGTAAGCCACGAATGGTCACTCTTATAGGTTCTTCCTTCAGAACTTCAAGGAGAGTGTAATCTGAAGGTAGAGTTAATAAATCAGGGTTTTTTTAGAGAGTGGATGGCGATATTCACGTTATGATGTCGGCTATAACCCTATAACATCAAGTGGGTCCAAGTTAACCCACGCTCGACTTTCGTACGAAAAGAGCTGAAATCACTAATATATTTTTGTGTTCGGTTTTGATAACTATCAAAAAATCAAATCAAAACTTTTATATAATCATAAACTATGCGAGTAAAAATTAAATAACTAAAGCGGTGATTTTGTAAATACACCGGAAAAATAATAATGAAGGCCAAAATAGATGGTTGTTTTTTCTTAATATGCTTTGTAATTCAATGTCCAGAACCTCTCTACTTTATTTTATAATAACTCAATGTATTGGCACACTACAGATTTGCACTAACTACTCAACGGGCTTGCAATTGGAGACTTTAGTTTTCAAAATTCTGGCTTAAATATAAACCAATATTTTAAAATCATCACGTGATAAGTGATGTTTCGGATCTGAATGAACTCAGTCTTATGTCGTACCGGCGAATGGAACACAGAAAAAAAATTGGTGCGCGTGCAATTTGGTGCACGTGAAAGAAGTGTTTGTTGTTGATTGTGGTTTTGTTCATTTTTCATCTTCAAACCAAATTTCTCTTGTAATCAGTTGTCGACGTGAAATAATACCACCAACTACAATCTTGTATTTAATGAAAGAGCTGTGTAATAAACAAGTTAATAGCGGAGCACCAAGCGTAGGTCTGACCCGAACTCATCCGAACAAAAGCACTTGCGAGTACTGTCGAATATTCTAGCTCGTTGCTCTAGCACTGAGATGCATGCAAACGACCTAGCTCGCTTTATCCCGTCCCTCTGTCTAGGGTCGAGTGATTCGTGAGACGCTGTCTATTTTCTCACTCTCACTCTTCCTAAATTGTATCTTTTCTCTCTAGCCGTAACGATTATGTCGCGAGTTAAATTTTACTCTCAATGCGCCAAAAGAAGTTTAACTTCAAAAACTATTAAACTTTTAAACCTGAATTCCTAACAATCTCGCCTTCGGGTGCGTATAGAACCCGCGGTCTGCTCTTGCTCCTGGCTCGTCGCCCACCGTTTCGCGTGTCATCGATCATCGGCGCTGTCGCCACATTGGCTCTGGATCGAGACCTGTGAAACCAATAACAACATACAAATATTTTCGAATCTTTTTAATTTAATACATTGTGTAATTTCCGATAATTTAAAAACATTGATATCTGCTGGAACTGATAACTTTAATTTAAGTTTAATGTGTACGTATCGTCTACAATTACTTTAAAAAAAGGACAGAAATCATCAAAAAGCATGGTCTGATCGGTAACATTTTGATTACTGTTGATCTGATTTAAAGAAAATCTAAAATTGGTTACTAGAAAAATATCTTTCATTCATAAGTAGCAGAGCAGTCTTCAAATTTCGTTAGAAGAAAGTAATGAAAGTAGACAGCTTTAACATAAGCGATTATGACTACCACAGATAATCTATATTTAGATTTAAACATGTATTATTACGGTTTGGTTAAACTGTGCTATTGTGATTGTCAAAGGAATCAGTTATGCCATTGCTATAATGGAATAAAAACTCCAAACAAATTTATTTATGCCAGTCAAAATTTCCCATAAATATAATTTTTTTTTTTCCATGAATTAAAAATTGGATTATAAAGCCATTATGATGTATTTGGTGTACCTTCTAATTGGAGACTCGATAGGCAGTGGAGCGCTGACTCCGGGACTCAAAGCCGGTGGAAGCATCGCAGGTCCCAAGTAAAATGTTTCCACGTCTGCAAATTCGTTCCGGAGTTGAGAGAAACTTCTTACCTAATGAAAAATAACCAATTTAGTATTCTTCTGTAGCCTTAATATTAGTTCTGATTTTTGAACCGAATACTAAGCTTTTAGTAATTCACAAAAATTTCAATTCTCTTTTATTTACATAAACATTAATACATTTTATACGCCATTTGTATTTATAACCTTATCATTTAATTTAACATTTTAATTTTGCATTGTCTATGTTCGAAAACATTGGATTTTAGAATCAATTCACTAGATTCTTATTAGGTGTATTTATTTTTTTCTGCATTTCTTCACAATATTAACTTTAAGAACGCCAAATCCAACGAACATATTATTCAAAAGGGGTAAGCGCAAGTTTTATTGTTCACCTATTAATAATATACTATGTATAATATATAGATTAAATTGTTTTAATACAATCTATGACTCGCAAGAATGTGTGCTGTTGTTGCAGTTATGTATATCAGGTGAGTAGTAGGTACCTCTTGACCGGTTATCGTATACATTCGCTTTGCCCCGCTCATTTTGAGTACTTGACCCAGATCCTCTAATACCTCTTCGAAAGGTTGCGTTGTCCGTAAGTTCAGTAACACGCGACACTGGAACAAATGTAATTTATACAAACTATCCAATGGTTTGTCTATGTTCAAAAAAAAGTTTTTTTTTATTGCTTAGATGGGTGGACGAGCTCACAGCCCACTTGATGTTAAGTGGTTACTGGAGCCCATAGACATCTACAACGTAAATGCGCCACCCACCTTGAGATATAAGTTCTAAAGTCTCAGTATAGTCACAACGGTTCCCCCATCCTTCAAACCGAAACGCATTACTGCTTCACGGCAGAAATAGGCGGGGTGGTGGTACCTACCCGTACGGACTCACAAGAGGTCCTACCACCAGTAATTACGCAAATTAAAATTTTGCGGGTTTGATTTTTATAATTGTAATAGTATTTTTTTGCATGTTGGATAAATGGGTGAATGACATCTCATGGTACACCCGATGTTAGATGGTTTGGATCTCGTGCTATTAATATTACCGTGGTAATATACATTACCAAATAGGCCACGAACTTGATTGCCTATATACCTACTGCAAATAAAAAGAAAACTTGACTTCTCAATCAATCATACCGGTTTTAGCATTTACTCTCCAAGGTCGTTTCACTGAAAGCCTCTTATTACCACGCCTTAAATCGGTACCGAAATCACATTATCATGATTGCGAATTGAGGGTTTGAAAAATGAAATTGCTAAGGCGATTTCGTTTAAAATTATACATTTTCATGAACCACAATAGTAATTAAAGCCGGTTTCTAGTTTCATAAGTATAGGTTTCAAATAAATTATAACTTAAAATGCAATTATATGCCGTCAACGTCTATTTTGTAAGTCGGTGGTAACAATGACGACAATGAGCTTGCAAACTCAAAATTGGAACCTATTTAAAATAAATAATCAATGTTCATAAAATATTTATAACTACTGATACCATGCACCCCACGCTTTTTTTACAATAAAATCATTTTTTCTTATATTAGTTTTAATTCAAATTTATTAAAAATTATTTAGTTGGATTATCTATAAAAGCGTTTTTTGTTAGTTTTTTAAACTATTATTTATCTTTCATTTTTTAGTTGAATTTAAATCTTTTAACTTTTTTTTAAATATTGAATTGTTATCGGTTTTTATTAAGTATACCAAATTTCGAGTTAATTCGACGTTTTGAAGAGGGTCAAAATCATATTCAAAGGTTCCGTTACATACATACGTCTCAAGCGTCAAAAGCGTATTAAAAATGGTAAAGAGACTGTATTTAAAAAACCACAGAGCTTGAATTGGTTGGAAGAATTTGTAGACTAGAATTTAATATTATAAGAACGAACGAACAAGTTTAAGAATATAGATAATAATTATTAATTATTTTTTTATTTTTTTTATTCTCGTTATTGTTATTAGTCTGCAGTCGAAAAATTATCGATAAATCAAAAACTGATAAAAATGTCTCGCCAATCTAACTTTCTTTACAAGTTTCGATAAATAGTTGAATTAAGCGAAATATCGTTACGGATATAGAAAACGATTTATGTAAAACCCAAAAACATTGTTCGACAAAGAACCTTAAAGACGAATATCCACGATTCAAATTATATAAAAAAATCTTTTTTTTACATATTACAAATGGTTTTAATTTAAAAGATATGCGACAAGTTTTATTTTAGGATTTCTTGAAATAACTAGTCTATAATTTAGGAGAGGTTGACAGCCCTAGAAGATCAACAATATTAGACACAAATACTTAATATCTAAAACAATTTTGAAAAAAGTATATCCGATCGGACTTCTTGCTTCTCACGTGAAACTGTAAAAGTAAGATTTACCTGCAGTGGCGGATTAAAGGTCCAGAGCGCCCTAGGCAATCACTTTATCGGCGCCCCTGTATCGGCCATAAATGACCATCATAATACTATAAATTTTAACTAGTCGCTTTTGCAATTACGATGACGTTGTATCATCAAACCCTAGATTTTAGTAGACCAGGACATTTAGTTTAGGCATTTAGTTTTTAATCGTCGATATGTTATTTACTTTATTTATTTAAAAATCTGGGCTCGCACGCTCCTTGTAACTACACGCCCCTAGGCACGTGCCTAGTTTGCCTCACGGATAATCCGCCTCTGTTTACCTGTATAGAGTGGTCCATGTTGTTGATGATTCTGATGACACGACCACTAGCCGGCTTTCCACCTCCGGGAGGAGGTGCATCGGACTCCGCAACCGATTGCTTGCGAGTACCGGACCTCGACCACCCGCTGGTACCAGTTCCACCGTACCACATACCGTTCTTTTTACCGTAGCTGGCGGCCTATTCAGAAAAATACATAACAAATAGCTTCATTAATAATATTTGGTTTTACTATTATTTTTACTGGTGGTAGGACCTCTTGCGAATCCGTGCGGGGGGGTACCACCACTCCGCCTATTTCTGCCGTAAAGCAGTTTTTTTTTTTTTTTTTTTCCTACCTAAGCTGATAGCCTTGAGAGGCTATGTCAGCGTAACCCTAACTTTTGTCGGTGAGCTCACGGGGCTCAAACCTGATGACGTTGCTAACACGAACCCTAGCAAGAGCCGTGCTTCGCAGAATCTACCACCGGATCGGAAACGCGACCCACTGAGAAGATCCGGCGAGAAACTCAGTGGGCTGTGTCTGAGAGTTAGTTTACTCGTCGAGCCCTTCGTCGCAAGCGACGGGTTCGACGAGAACGGTGACCGGTGCTTGAAGTACCTAGAAGCACCGTTAGTGGATCGGGAGGATCCGAGATGACGTGTTTTGGGCGACGTCGACTGCTTTCCATTCTGTCCGCAGGATCGGGAATGTAGTTACCGGCGGCCACGATGAGAGGGTTCTCGTGTCGTGCCGCTTTATCGAAGTGGCGCACTGACGCCGACTGCATATACTTACTGGTGGACTCTAAGTCCAGGTCGTCATGGAGGTCGACGTTCCTGACGAACCACGGGGCTCCGACGGCTATCCTGCAAAAACGGGATTGAATGATTTGAAATGACTTTAAGTGAGTGCGGGCCGCGTGAGCGAACACTACACTTGCATAGGTCATGACGGGGCGTATGCAAGTTTTGTAGAGTGTCACCTTATTTCTAAGGGACATTTTACTTCGCCTACATATCATCGGGTAGAAAAGCAGTAATGCGTTTCGGTTTGAAGGGTGGGGTAGCCGTTGTAACTATACTTAGAACTTATATCTCAAGGTGGGTGGCGCATTCACGTCGTAGATGTCTATGGGTTCCAGTAACCACTCAACACCAGGTGGGTTGTGAGCTCGTTCACCCATCTAAGTAATAAATAAATAAAAACTTTGAAGTCGTTGTGGCCTAAAGGACGTCCGGTGCATTCGTATCGAGCGATGGGACTGTCCTAGTGTTCGATTCCCGCAGGCAGGTACCAACTTTTTTAGTGAAATACGTACTTAACAAATGTTCACGAATGACTTCCACGATGAAGGAATTACATCATGTAATGAAAATCAAAACCGCCAAAGTTATAATTTGCGTAATTACTAGTATTGTATTGTGAGTCCGCACGGGTAGGTATCACCACCCCGCCTATTTCTGCCGTGAAGCAATAATGCGTTACGGTTTGAAGGGTGGGGCATCCGTTGTACTGTAAAACTGAGACTAAAACTCATGTGGCAATGTGGGTGGCGGCATTTACGTTGTAGATGTCTCGAGGCTTCGGTAACCACTTAAAACAAGGTGAGCCGTGAGCTCATCCACCTATCTAAGCAAAAAAATATATATTTCAATGCCGGTTTGGCTATTCGCTTTTAATATAAAGTTTTTTTTTTTAAACTGTAACCCATGGTTAGGTCATCTTAACAAGCATTGTAATGAAAACAAAATAAAGCTGAATTTTTTTCAAAAGCATAAGTTAAGTTAATAAAATTTTTCTTATCACGTTGTCATGAAATCACGGAATATTTATGAGTACTCAAAAGTAAAATTGTAAGCAAAGATTGCGCCATAAAATCTGACGAAGTAACCAACTGACTGCCCTAAAATATATTTTGCCCCTGACATTAATCTAGATTTTAGTAGCTGAATAATATACAGACCTAAAAATAATTTCATGTGATTCTAAAATATAATATTAGAAAATATGATTTTTTTTCATTATCAATTACAAACAAGTTTAGGCTTTCCTAGATTAAGTGCCACAAAAACCTTTAAAGTTCGTTTTTGGTTGTCATAGATTCGCTCATGAATGTTATACAATTCAATACATATATGTATGTTTTTTGACGAACCCGAAATTGTACAATAATTATTTTTAAAATCACTTTGGCACAAGTGTACCGCGTATGTCGAAGGTATTAATAATAATTTGTTACTAAGCGCGTAGAACTGTTAAATCATTTTAATCAAACAGTATTATTCACACTTGCTCACTATCAGTGAATAAAGCAACCACGTCGTATCAACAGAAAGATCGTTGAATGCTAAACACTAACTGTGTTGTTATAAGCCCTTTAGATCTTAACGCGAAATTATCCTGTACATCTTCGAAAACTGCAAAAATTTAATGAAATATAAAATTTAAAATTTGTTCTAAACATGTATTCAAATTTGTAGAAATCATTTTAATGAATGTATGCTCGTTAGCGAAACGTAATTTAATGACGTTCGCGTTAAAACATTTAACGGCCGAAGGTGGAATTCGAATACTTCAGCCGGTGTTGAGAGTGCCGACTTTTTTCATGAATTTCTCGTGAATAGCACAGTTTTTAACCTAGATTTGATTTGACCCAATTGTATTTAATGTTTCCTATTATGAACGCGAAAGGTTTTGTATATTTATTTCCCTTAAAAACTTTCCTAGTTTGTGCGCAGTAAAAATTTTCACATAATCCGATTTTTCACAAAGAAAACTACCCATCACGATGAAGTCCAGGACTGGCTTAAACTGAAATGGGCCTAGATTTTCGTCGACAATCATTATCAATTATAACGGGTATCATAAATAAATATATACCATAAATAACCACGAATATACAAACGATACAAAATTTCTTGCTTCAACGTTTTTTTTAAATAAATGATTAAAAATAACTGACCATCACCGAGACGATATAATCTCTGTCACTGTTATTGTAACACTGAATTCGTATGTGAGAAATTTTCGATGAATAACGGTGCGCCAAGCCAGTCCAGCGACCAACCGTCCACTGGCATTATAAACACCAAATCCAACAGCTAAATTATTCCAATGTCCTTGAGCAATGGTACTGACCAAGGAGAAATCTTATCTTTATTCTGTTTATACGATTTCAAAAAAAATACGGCCTTGATTAATCTTTATATATTTTAAAACACGATATTTTTAAATGGTATTCTAGCAATGAAGATTTACAATTACGATTTTTGACTATCAGAATACAGGTGAATTTTGAATGCCCAAGTCATTTACACACGTGTGGCTGAAGGAATAAAGTCGTTAGCGAGGCCACGGATCAAATTGCTGCATAACAAGTGGACTGCGGTGTTTGTGAAACGAATACGTCTGACAAAGCTACAAACTTTTTGTTTGTTCAGTGAAAATGAAAGCAACTAGATTATTATGTCGTGTGAAAACAATAAAAGGATTTCCCCTTCATAATCTGACTAGTATTCTTGATAGTAAAATTTGGATTACCTTTGAGAACTACATCAACTGTACATTTTAAAGAATACATAATCCATAACATTAACCCAAATGTGACATTACATTACCCTATCTTACGCACCACGCCGATAGAGCACAACACGCAACTTATTTACATATTACAGGGAATACAATAAATTAGCAATGCAACTGAATTTTGCACTTAATGAATTAGATTACTTTATATTACAATAATCTACCTCATTTAAACTTAAAGTCCGAGATTATATTTCAATTTTTTTTTTGTTTCAGAATTATTTGCATTTATTTCAGAAACTGTTTTTTTTTACTTACGGGCGGTTCTGGTGTGTAAACTGGCAAAGATATGACAGTAAATGACTCGTCGTCACTATCGGACATGTAGTAGTCGGCTGCTCCCAGCCAACGGTAGCGGCTCGGCTTGCAGTGCCACACCTTGAAGCCTTTACTCTACCTCTTTTGAAATAGATAAATAAACTTATATGCCGTAGCTTGATTCAAAAGATTTTTTTTGTCAATAGTGATCCAATATACACTGAGTTAAATGTCACTTGCGTTCACCACCTCGAGTCAAGTTCAAGTACCTAAACTGCAGAACAAAGTTATCATGCTATTATGCAGTTAACTTCTACATAAGCCACGATATCTATTTAACATATTTTACAGGGGTGACGTTTGTCCGGTCCGTCCGTCTAGACAATGATTTGCATATATTTACTGTTAACGAACATGCATAAAACGAAAACAATCTTAATCTAGATTTAATTAAGGGTTTTCATAAAGGCATGGTAGTTAAGCTAATATTTAAATTATAAAGCTGTTACTCTTTAATTTTAAATATACGGTACAACTTTTTGCTCAATGAAACAAAAGTATATTACATTCATGAATATTTTATGAATACTGTCGTAAAATACACATATGCATGTGTATGTTTTTATTTTATTTTACATGGATGACTTAATTACTGCCACCGAACTGGTGCAGTTTTGAATTGCATTTGAACAAGTCGTAGCACCAATATACATAAATTATAACGTTCAAGTCAACATAAACTGTAGTTTTTGTTAACTACAATCGCCTTAAGTGTAAAGTGGGCCACGACGGGCATTAGTTCCACGTGTGTCAACCAACGGTGGTGATCCAATCTTTGACACGCGATTTTTACGGTTCACGGAAAACATGTGAAACGCTTAATTCTCTTAACATGTTCGTCACATGAGCACTGATTAAAAAGAAAACTTACTCCTTTGATGTTAGTGTATACTGCTAACCTGCCCTTAATCGAGATCAACTTAATGAAAGGATTCCGACCTAGATTATTATGAACTTGTAATAAATTATTATGAAATTGACTCGAAGGGCCTAGTGTAATTGGATCCTTTTTAAATACTATAGCACTATTTTTTACAAGTATTGTTTTCGAATCCAAAAAAAATGTTATTCTAAACAGGAGCCGTTCTAATGCACGAGCACTTCACACACGGATCGAAATGGTAAATTGCAACAGCTGACCAAATTCCGCAACCACTAAATGTAAACATAGAGTCCGTTATATGAAGACATAACAGACAGGTAATGAGCATGAAAAGTCGTCTTTACTCATACGCGATAAAGCTCCAAGTTCCGCGAACAAATCTATCCGTATACCGCGGATGTACGTGTTAGA